ATCCAGGGTCCAGCCGGCAGGTGTGGCTTTGTCACAGAGCCTAGCGTAGATGGCAGGTGTCAGGTTGCTGGCCATGCAATTGTTATGTTTGCGCAGATCAGGGTACTCAGCACTGTGGGAGATGGTGGAAAAGGCAGGGTGAAAATGATAAAAAGAGCCTTTTGGCCTGAACCCCTCCCGTCTTTTCTTTCTCTATCCTTCAGGAAGAGCATTTGGACCCTGTTTCTGTTCCTCTGCTTCTAGGGTTCTCTGATGTCTTTGGAGCAGCACTGACTCTTCCCTGAGTTATCCCTGACAAATGAGCCCTGGTAGCCTCCTATTTCTGCTACGGAAGCCCCACACCATGGCCATCGTCCCATCCCCAGAGTTAGGTCCTCTTTGGCCCTATCAGTGTTCAGTTAGTGTTTCCTCCCTTATTCCACACTGAGGCATATCCACCTTTGTGGCAGGGATTGGGGTCACCAGCAGCAGAGGCAGGAGAGGGATCAACCAGAATGGGAACAGCTAATGTGTAGCCCATCCTGTTGCCATCCATCCAAGGATGGGTAGAGAACAGTTAGAATTTCTGCTTCTATCACCAGTCTTTCTGGTTTTTTTGGTGCCTTTCAGTCAGTGTTGACTCTTGATGACTGCCTGGTCAAGTCCCTGCAATTTTCTTTGCAGGAAGTGGTATGCCATTGCCTCCTCTTTCTTCCTAGGGCCAAGAAAGTCATTCAATTGGCTTCGTGTCTAAGGCAGGACTAGAACTCACAGTCTCCCAGTTTCTAGCCTGATGCCTTAACCACTACATCAAACTGCCTCCCATGCCCTCTTAGTGCTGGCTATAGTGTTGGATACCACAGGGGAAGACACCAGGGCATTACAATTAATAGAAGTTTATGAATAAAGTTACTGCATCAGAGAGTTTCCCCCACTCTGGAGCTGATCATCAGCCCAAGTAGCAATGAGGAGGACTGCCATGGCATCTGCTTGCAAAGAGCTTCCTTCTGTTGGATAGGCTTTATAGCCTTCACGCTCTCTCCCCTGGGAGTTGCTTAGTTTAGGCCAGTGATTCTCTTCACCATGGACCTCCTTTAAATACCTTTTGTAGTACTTAGTTCAAGATTTAAATCACAACATTTCTTCAAGCCTTTGTGGACCCTCTGTGCTGTGTTGACCCCAGCAGTCCGTGGACCCCAGGTTCAGAACCACTGGTATAGGCCATTAGCAAGGGAGGTGCCCACTAGCAGGCAGAGGGCGCCTAGTTAAGTTTAACAATATCTTTGTATGCTGTTTGACTCCAATGACTCACAAGTAAAAACATTAAAAAGATACCATCAGAAACAAAAAAAAAAATAAGGAATAGAGACAGCAAATTGACTAAATTACTTCACTGGGGTCAGAGTGGGAAGTTCGCTATTTAGCAGCTTGTACTGCAAGCTGCACAGGTGTGCTGCACAGTGGTAAATGGGAGGGGCTAGCTTGCTAAGCAGCCTGTGCTTGAATGTGGTTCAATCTCAGGTCACACAGATTCCAGTTCCGCCAAGACTCTGCCTTTGTTCGCCGTCCTGGGAAGGGCCACTTAGGAGTGGCCCTGTTTTCCACTCTTCCTGCTTCCTGAAGCAAGGTGCTCAGAAGCTGGAGAATCCTCTGTGCTCTGCTGACTTGCCCTTTCCTCTGAGGCTTAGAGAGGTGAACATCTAACTTCAACATGGAGTACTTAAGCAACAGTGGTGACCCCAATTCACAATCCAGCAGCTGAGTAATGCTCGCATTAAGTTCCCTTCCTTAATCTGCTTAGGAAGCTGCTTTCTCTTGACCTCATTGACGATTTGGAGGGCCCCAAGGTGTCTCGAGGAAGGGGTGGGGGGTGGGGAGGTGCTGAGAGGGGTCTTCTGTGCCCTCCCTCCAACCAAAACCACCATGGGCACCAGTCCAGGACCTGCAAGGCTCTTTCTCAGTCGTGAACAGCCTGCAGCTGGTGGGTCTTTCCAGCAGCAACCCAAATGGTGGGCGGGACTTGGGCTCCATTCCTCCTTTGCAGATAAGGAAGAGGGAGTTGCACCAGAAGCCTCGGCCGGCTGGCGTTGCACCTGAGACCTGTGCTTGGCTCCAGTGCAGCCTGGCCCCTCCCTGTTTTGGCCCCTCTCTGCCCCTCTACTGCCCGGCTTTGCTCAGGGTTGGGGGATGCTTCCAGGGCCCTTCTTGGGAGGATAATCACCCCTAGATTGATGCTGCTTTGTGGAATGGGGGAGACCTAGAGCCCGGAGCCCGGAGGAGGCAGCCAGAACGGCCCAGAAGGAGCTGAAACAGAGAGGGCTCCATTTCTCTTTGCCTTAAAGCTGCGCTGGGGAGAGGAAGCAAACCCCGGGCGTCTGGAAAGGCAGGAGCCCGGTTGGGGGCGCTGAGCAGACCCACTTTTCTGGGGGTCGTTCAGAGGCAAAGCAGGGTCCCTTTGGGGGGGAGGGAAGCTGAAGGCCAAACCCAATTACCTCATTTTTGCGGCGCCGGAGAAAAGGGAGCGGCGCGCTCCTAAATTGGCGGGTGGGTTACAGGGGGTCCGAGAGGGGGACCTTGTTCCTTCGAGGGTAGAGAGGACCGCTGTCCTCCGCAACGGCGCCCCGGGCCTTGCGCTCCAGCTCCGAGGAAGCCCTCCCGGGGGTCGCCGCCTCAAGGGCATCCCCAGCCGCCCCGGGAGCCCTACCTTGGAGGGTAGAGGCGCCGCTTGGTCCTCGCCGAGTGGCAGGCGGAGTCGCGGGAGAAGAGGAACCCGGCGCCCAGCGAGCCAGCGGCGCCCACCGCGGCCAGGAGGGCGGCGGATCGTCGGGCGGAGAGGGCGCGGGCGAAGGTGCTGGACATGGTGCGGCCGCGAGGAGTCTGAGCGCGAAGCAGGAAGGCGAGCCGCGGGCGGGCGAAGACTTCGCACAGCCAGGCGGGAGGAGGAAGACGCCTATTGCGAGCCTCGCGGGGAGGGGAGCGCGGAGATTACGCCGCCCTAGCGCCGGCCCGGCCGGCCCAGCCCAGCCCGGGGGCCTCGCCCGAATCGTCGCGCGCGGCTGCGGCACCGGAGCGCGCTTCAGCACCGACCCCGGCCTGGACAGCGCCGGGCAGGGCAGCGGACCCGCAGTCAGGCGGGCCGCCCCCACGGGCTCCGGGCGAGCGGGGGCGGCAGGCGACCTCCGACTGCCGCTACTTACCGCCGGGCCCCGAGTTGCCGCAGCCGCGGCTCTTGCCAGGCCGCCCAGAGGCTGCCGCGGCGGGACTCCCCCCCCCAGGGCTTAGTGGGACCTACGTGAAGACCGGAGCCCAAAGCCAGCCCGCCCCGCAGCCCCGCGGCTGTGTCCTGGGCCCAGCGGTGCTCCTCTTCTAGCGCGGCTCGCGAGCGCGGTGGCGGTATCGGAATCTGGCTGTTCTGGAGCATTTCCCCTTGGGCGAGGCTGGCTGGTACCTGCTGCCTTCCTCCCCGCTCCCGGCTGGGCACCCCCAGCACCGGGACTCCACGCGGAGGAGAATAAAGCAACCGAAGGGACAAGCAGCCCAACGATCCCCTGTGCACTTCCGCAATTACTTTGACGCCGAGATGATCTGGTTTGTTCACCAAGATATTGAACAGCCATGAATGAAGTTTCTTTGTATAATGGGATTCTCATCCAAGCTCCCGTCCCCCGACCCAAAACTGACATTCCCAGGAAAAAGGAGAAGCCAGAGGCTGCGCTGAGAAACGCTGAGCAGATCCGCCAGACGCAGCGCCCCACCCGGCCCTTTCCCTGCAGACCCCTTTGCGGGCTGCTCCCTCTTTCTTCTAGTGCACGGGGAGCCTTATCCCAAGGGCAGAGATGCCCACAGGCTGGACGCAGCCGATTCTGGGCTCATCTGGTTGACTGCCCCCCTCCCCATGGGAAAAGAGGACTGACTGGTCAAGCAGGGTGGTGTAGAGCCCATCTCCACCCCCTCCTACATATTTGGCATGTCAGATTTCTCCCCCAGTTTGCTAGCAAGAGGTCCTTGGGGCTCTCTGAGCTTGTTTTTTTTTTTCTTGTAGTGCTGCCTAGTCTGGGTCTTGAAACATCTGTAAGAAAATAAGCAAGCTCAGGGTGACCCAAGGACCCCTCATTCTTGTCCACCACCAAATCTTAGAACGCCCACCTGAGCTTGCATTTCCTCCCCCACACACACACACACATTTGCAGCTGACTGGTTCCCTCCCTCCCTCCTCCGGTTCGTCCTGTTCCCTCACCAACGCTGGCGGTGAGGAACTTGTGATGCACAAGGCGTCCTTCCAATTTCCTCAAAGCATTCAACATTTTTCTTAAAGACGAAGAGGCAGAAGGAACGGAGAGAACGCAAAACCGATGCCACGAAGGGCAGGTGAAGCAGTGAACCGCGGCCATAAATCAGGCCAGGTTAGAGACGTGTTGAGAGTTAAGAAGAGAGCCAGGGAAATTCCGAACTCCTTGGAACCGGAGGGGCGGGGCTGGCCTCCCACCTGGAGTCCTGGGAGGCATTTCCTGGCAACTCCGCTGCTCCCAGGTGTGGCTAGACTTTGTTTCCCCCGGGCAGGTGTGTCAAGGTGAGCGCTACGCTCAGCGACCTTTGGAGCCCTTCGCCAGCACAGCTTGGCTCAGGGTTACTCCGCCCTCGCCTCGCTTCTGCCCGGAGTGGAGCCGGCCCGCTCTCCGACGGCTGCGAGAAGCGGGCGCGCCGCATTTCGCCCGGAGACGCCGCCGCCTCCTCTCCCTGCTGCCTCCGGGCCTCGCCCGCCGCCCCTCGTGCCCTCGGCGGGGCGGGAGGGCGACGGCCCTGCTCGGGAGCGCGGTGCGCGTCGGAGTCCGGAGCAGCTGCGGGGGAAGGCTCGCTCTGCTCGGCTGCTCCGGCGCCGCCTCAAGAGCTCGGCCAGTGGCGCGCGGCCGGGCCAGGGCAGGCACACGCGCGCGCGCGCACGGGGAGCGGAGGGGAGGCGAGGGGGCGCTGGGGCCGCCTCTCGGGGCGGGGCGGACCGCGGGGCGAATTTCCGCGGGAGCCGCTTCTTCCCGCCGGGCGCGGCTCTGGGCTGCCCGGGGAGGGCGGGGGGCGGCGGCGGCCTTCCCTTCGTGGGCGGTGCCGGGCGGCGCCTCGGGCTAGCCAAGCGCCTCCCCGCCCGGCGGCCGCTGGGTCAGGCCGGGCCGGACTGGGCGCGCGCGCTTCCGGGTGGCTCCCGCGGCCCTGCTGGCCGAAGGCTCGTCGTCAGCGCGGGCTGCGAATTGCGTCCGGGCAGGCCGGGCCCCGCTCGGCCCTCTTCCGCCTCCGGAGTCCGTCCGCAGCCCGAAGGATGCGGCAATGTAAGGCGCCGGCGGGAGGCCGGGGCCGCTTGGGCGGCCGCTGGTGACGCCGGCCTGCTCGTTGCAGAGCGGGATGGTTGGCTGCGCGCTCTGGCATGTCGTCCGGGAGGGCCGAGCTGAAGGAGGGCGCTTCCGCGGCTAAGTTCTTCGTGGGCTCCCGAGATGAGGAGGTGGACTTCCTGGGAGCAGACCTGAAGATGGAGGAGCTGCGCTTCTTTGAGGATGAGGAGGAGGAGGAGGAGGAGTCGGTGAGGAGGAGGAGGAAGAGTCTTGCTCTGCCTGCCTTAGAAGGAGCCCTGCTGGCTTGGAGGCGGTGGGAAGTCCCCCTGAGGGGGCACCGGGGGTGGGGGGGATGCTCCTCTTGTGTTTCTGAGGGCATCTAGAAGGGGGGGTTCTGCCTGGCGGGTTCCCTTCTTCTCCTCCTGGAAGTCCTTGTTACTTCCGGCCTGCATGTGTTTTCGTGGGAATAGTCCCCCCCCCTTGTTTTGCTTTTGTGCCTGGGTTTATGGAGGAGGCCAGTTCTGCCAGACCACCCACTGCCCAAGATGACGCTGCTGCTACTACGACTCTCTCGCAGCCTCCAGAACGGCAGATTGTGGTTGGCATTTGCGCCATGACCAAAAAGTCCAAATCGAAGCCCATGACCCAAATCCTGGAGCGGCTGTGCAAGTTTGAATACATCGCGGTGGTGATCATGGGGGAAGACGTCATCCTGAACGAGCCAGTGGAGAAGTGGCCGGCCTGCGACTGCCTGGTCTCCTTCCACTCCAAAGGTTGGCCCGTTGATGTCCCGGCTCCTCTTCCTGGCCTGGGTCCTCAGCTCGTGGTGAACACGTTTTTCCTCCCAAATCTTCCAGGGTTTCCTCTGGACAAAGCCGTTGCTTACGCCAAACTCCGCAACCCTTTTCTGATTAACGACCTTGATATGCAATATTACATCCAGGACAGGTAGGGTGGTGGAGGTGGACAACCTTGTTGGGTTATTATGGGCTGCATGGCGTGTTATGCCTCCAACAGCAGGCCGGATCTGCACCACGATCTTCCACCGATCTTTGGGCTGTTTTGGGTGGAAGCAGCTTAAAAGCCAGAATTTAGTTAACTAGGCTACCACCATCACCAGAGAAGAGCAAGGCAGACTGGAGCGGAGTCAAATCCTTAGCGTATCCTGTGATCCAAATGTGCTCTGGCCATCCGGGTGGACCCAGGAAGCAGGAAGGTCAGAATCGGCCACCTCCCTCACCCAGAGAATCCTGCCTGTGTTCCTGTCCTCTGTAGGCGGGAGGTCTACCGGATCCTGCAGGAAGAGGGGGTCGACCTGCCTCGTTATGCGGTGCTCAACCGGGACCCTGATCGCCCAGAGGGTGAGTGGGGCAGGCAGGGTGCTTTGGAGGCAAGGCAAGTGGGTCAGTTGCCAGATGAGCAGGAAGTTGCGCCCTTTGCTGCTCTTAAACACCCGGAAGTAGACCAGGGACTGAGAACGCACATCGCGTGGCTGTATTTGGGCAACCTTCTTGGGGAGGGCTAAGAGGCATTGGGAAAACCTAGAAAATGGATGACTCTGGTACCATGTTGTGCAGGGCCGTTTCCTTTGTTGCCCAGGGCCTTGCCAGGAGAGCCTTGGCATCAGGCGCCCTGGGCCAGTGGCCGATGCCCTCAGGAGAGGAAGTGGCCTCCGTCTTGTGCGTGAAGAAGCATCAGAAGAGCTCAGAACTCAGATTTGCAGGGTGATGGCTACTAAAGAGGGTCTTTTCCTTAATCAGTGAAGGAGAATATTTGTAACTCGGGGTTAAAATGGGGGGTCTTTGGTGTTCTCTGACCTTGGCTGTTTTCTTGCAGATGTTTCATTACCCAACTTAGGTCACATCATCAAACTAGACTAGCACTGATGATGTTTTTCTTGATCCTCTGTTAGGCTACGTGTTTACCTTTACCCACTCACCATCAGTTAGCCCCCTAACCTCATCTTCAGGTGTGCCCAATTCCTCTGAACTCTCTCGATGCAGCAGGACGTGCCCCCTGCCCCTCTTAGTGCAACCGCTTTGCATAGTGGCTTTCCATCCTTTCCCCCTCCCTGCCACTCTCAGCCAGTCCCAGCCTCCTCCAAGGAGGATGCTGGGTGTCTGGAAAAGTCTGGAGGCTCCATGGCTCCCCAAGAAAGAGAAGTTGGGGGGGTCAGCTTCCTGTCTCTGAAGGGCCTGTATTTTTGGGCAGAGTGCAGCCTGGTGGAGGGAGAGGACCACGTGGAGGTCAACGGGGCCATTTTCCCCAAGCCCTTTGTGGAAAAGCCAGTCAGTGCTGAGGACCACAACGTCTACATCTACTATCCCTCTTCGGCTGGTGGGGGCAGCCAGCGCCTTTTCCGCAAGGTGAGAAGGCTGTGGCTTTGGCTGGGGAAGCTTTGTCTGATGAGTGGCATTTGCAACTAGTACCTGGCTATCATCTCTACTGAATTCCGATGCCTCTGGGATCTATAAGGCCTTGGGTGACTTTTTTTCAGGAGATTGTGTGAATAATACTTTTTTACAGTTAAGCCCAAAGCAGTAATCCCAAGGCAAAGAGTGAGAACAGTACAATCAATGTCAAATATTGAAGGGGTGATTCATTGGCACCAGAGTCTTCCAATTCATTGTGGTTGGGTCCCTTTTCAGGTGCCAAATTTGAGAAGTTAAGGTAATAGTCATTTCCAGGACACCTTTGCTTCCTTTGAATATTCAGTAAAGTGGAAATCTGAATTCCAGGAAGATTTTGATTAAAGCCATTTGGATTTGGCTCGGCTGAAATGAAGATAATGATGTGATATACATAGGAATGTACTTTAGTTTTATTGAACAACAGTAATGCCTTCATCTTTTCCATTTTAAACACCATTGGTGGGAAATAAGTAGTGGCATAAGGCAGAAGTCCCCAAGCTTTCCACTTTGGCATGGGGGAGGGTGTGTGAGTGGTAGGTGCACAAGCATGCGCCCAGCTCCATTGGTGTGAGTGGCAGACCCACGCGAACTCCACTTGCACAAGCAGTGGATACTTGTGTGTGAAGGTCCACTTGCCTAAGTGGAGGGCGCTTGAGCAGAGAGTGCTTGTGCTTGTGGGAAAAGCTTCACTTGCGTGAGCAGAAAGTGCTCGTGCATGAAGCTCCATTCACATGAATAGAGCTTCACACGCAAGTGCCCTCTGCTTCTGTGAGTGGAGCTTGTCCACCACTCATACAAGTGGAGGTTCATGCATGCTGCACTTGCCCATTGCTTGTGCAGTCCAGTTTGAATCAGTTGCCTGGCCTGAGCCCTTGCTGTCCAGATGTAGGTGTCTTTTGCTCCTCTGTGTGAGGAGTCAGATGCTCTGGGACTCGTGGCCCGTCTCTACTGAGGTGAGCATGCATCTCTAGCTGAGTTCCTCAACTGTTTCAGATTGGGAGCCGCAGCAGCGTCTACTCTCCAGAGAGCAGCGTACGGAAGACTGGATCATATATTTATGAGGAGTTCATGCCTACAGATGGCACAGATGTCAAGGTAGAAGGGGGTGTTTCTGGGGACCTGCTGAGAGGAGCCCTCTGAGTTGGGCAGACAGCCTGGTTACCCAGGTTCCTTTGAGTCCTCTTGGCAGCTCTGAGTTTGTTGACTGCTGGTGCTCTTTCATTCAGGTCTACACGGTGGGTCCCGACTATGCTCATGCCGAGGCACGGAAGTCCCCTGCTCTTGATGGGAAGGTGGAACGGGATAGCGAAGGAAAGGAGATCCGCTACCCAGTTATGTTAACAGCCATAGAAAAGCTGGTGGCCCGAAAAGTCTGTGTGGCCTTCAAGGTTAGTCTTTCCCTCTGACCTGTGGCCTCCTGGAGCCCTCCCTGAAGTTGTTAACTCTTGTTGCCGAGGCCTGGAATGCCTGGACAGGGCTTGGAGCCACCCTCCCCTCCCCAAACAGAGGAATGTGCTTCCCTGGCTCTGAAGTGTCACGCTTTAGGTGCTGCTTCGCCCAGTCCCTGCATCTCCCTGCTAAAGCTGACAGAGAAATGGGGCTGAGGGGTTACTACTGTTGGTAGAATGCCACAAAGAGGCCCGTGTGCCACTTCCATTGAGTCTTGTCTTATCCTTTGCAGCAGACCGTGTGCGGCTTTGACTTACTGCGGGCCAACGGCCAGTCCTTCGTCTGTGATGTCAACGGCTTCAGTTTTGTGAAGAACTCTATGAAGTACTATGACGACTGTGCCAAGCTCCTTGGGTATGTGGTGCTTCGATTGATTGTCTCCTCCTGGAAGGAGCACGATTGGTCTGAATCCAGTCTGCCTCGGGCTGGTGATCCTACCGCAGAACTGGGGAAGGTGGTTTCCAACCAATCCCTCCTCTCTCTGTCAGGAACATCATCATGCGTGAAATGGCCCCCCAGTTCCAGATCCCCTGGTCCATCCCCACTGAAGCAGAGGACATCCCCATTGTGCCCACCACTTCAGGGACAATGTTAGTGTTGGCTGTGCTGACCATACTTCCCTCTCTGGCCACTGCTTGTGGTGACGGTTCCCGAGGTTGGCCTGTCAGTAGGAGGCACATTCTTTTTTAGAAAGACCACGTAGGTTTGGGGCCCTATTTGCAGTGTTGTTGGATTTTATGATAACAACGTGGAGTTGGTATTAATGCGCAGGAGCTTCTGGCTATAGAAAACGTCTCAGCTTCATTCCCTGAAGCGCTCAGGACAAAAACAGTTCAGGTGAAATTCCGGCCTTCCCTCTTCTTTGGCCTAAGATTCTGGAGGGATCCCTTCTAGGCTGAAGGCCCACAGCAGGCCCTGCAGTTAAATTGAAACCAGGGCCCAAGTCCTGAGGCTCAGCTGTGGGAGGCACAAGGAGGGGGAGGCCAGGCCAGCCAGCATGGCGGGAGAGCCCAGAGCAGGATGTTCCAGCTGTTCTCTTTCCCTGCTTGTTGGGGATGGTGAAAAAAATGGAGCAACATTTTCTGAGACCTTGGGATCTCCTAGGTGTTGGTCATAGTAGGAGGGAAGGAATGGTGGAAGGGCATCCTATGAGCTGAAGCATCTCTCTTGCAGGATGGAGCTACGGTGTGTGATTGCAGTTATAAGGCATGGTGATCGGACCCCCAAGCAGAAGATGAAGATGGAAGTGAAACATCCCAGGTATGGTGGAGTCCCTGGGTGTCTTGGAGCCAGGGCCCCTTCAGAAGGATAAAAAAGTTCCAGGACAAAATGAGCTCCAGAGAAAGAGCATGCATAAATGTGGCAAACAACCGACAATGTCAATCACCCGCTTTGCTTCTGCTGTCGCCAGGTTCTTTGTTCTGTTTGAAAAATACGAGGGCTACAAGACTGGGAAGCTGAAGCTGAAAAAGCCGGAGCAGCTTCAGGTGAGTTTGGGGCTCCCTCTGGTCGTAGACGAGCCATGCAGGTGAAACTCTCCCCCTCTGTTGGCCGATCTTGTGCCTGCCTACCTGGAGGGGGTGGCCGGATGGCTGAGAGACACGGCTAAGGAGCCTGTGCCTTTGATTCCTAGAGCCCTTGGGCCCACAGACCTGAGCAAGCCTTTGCCCCGACAGGAGGTGCTGGATATTGCTCGGCTGCTGGTGCAGGAGCAGGGCACCCTCGGAGACGCCGTGGCAGAGGAGCAAAAGTCGAAACTGGAGCAGCTGAAGACCGTGTTGGAGATGTGAGCAGGGACTTGTCTCCATGGCCCCTCTGTCCCCCCCAAATCTCTGGGAGAGTAAGATCAACATTGCAAGCAATTCTTGCACCTCCACGCATGTCCCCAGAGTGGAGGGCATTTCCTCTTGCGCCACAACAGAGGCCTGGGCAGGGCGGAGGGAGGTGGGCAGCCTGGCAGCTTCTCCACTTCAGGCGTGGTGCGTAAAGCCAGACATTTCAAGCGCAGAATTGTGGTCCTTTGTTATTCTGGCAGGTATGGGCACTTTTCTGGAATCAACCGCAAAGTGCAGCTGACCTACCTGCCTCGTGGGCACCTGAAGGCATCCAGTGATGAGGAAGGCAGGTATTGAGGTCTTGCGGTGGGGGAGGGGCATGAAGGCAGCGGTGGGTGAGAATGGGGGTTGCGGAAGAGCCCTGCCAACCTTGCAGGATGAAGATCCTAATTGCACGCACGTTTCTATAGACAAAGGAGGGGCATTCTGGGTGGTGGACTGATGGAGGCCAGTTTCACTCATTCATGCAATGAAGAAATGGAGAATGTAAACTGAGAATGCTTCAGTTGAAATGCCAACCCTTGTGGGGAAGGGGAGCCACTGCTTCCCCCTCCCCACCACACTTGCCAAATAATCCCCACTTAGGGGGAAAGTGCCAACTGAAGAGGATTGGGGGGGGCAGAACTGAGGTTGCTTTTGTGCAACTTCCAGGCCTCAGAAGCACTTGGCAACTTTCCTTCGTCCTCCCCCCCCATCCTGTTTCACCAGTTCTTGCCCCTCTGCTCTGGTCTGGTGGTTGAGGAGTGGGCGGTAAGTCTTCATTCAAAAGCCCTGGTGGCACAGTGGTTAGAATGCAGTATTGCAGGGTAATTCTGCTGACTGCCGACTGCCAGCAGTTTGGCAGTTCGATCCTCACCAGCTCAAGGTTAACTCAGCCTTCCGTCCTTCCGAGGTCAGTAAAATGAGGACCCAGATTGTTGCGGACAATAGGCTGACTCTGTAAACCGCTTTGAGAGGGTTGTAAAGCACTGTGAAGCGGTGTATACTGTAGGTCCAGGTGTTATTGCTATTGCTATTCCACCCCAACCGTGGAAGGAGGTGACTCTAGTTCTCTGCTGTGTGCAGATCTCAAGGAAGCCTCCCCGTCCTTGCTCCTGGTGCTGAAGTGGGGGGGTGAGCTGACTCCTGCAGGCAGAGTGCAAGCGGAGGAGCTGGGCCGAGCCTTCCGCTGCATGTATCCAGGGGGCCAAGGTGAGTCTGGGCTTTGCACGCTGGTTCTTGGAGGGAAAGACAGAGACGGCAGCTGACAGCATCTTGGTAGCCACCTTAGGTGGGGTCCTTTGGTCCTATGCCTGCAGCCCAGCTGCTGGTCTCAAAGCAGAAAAGAACCCCCGAATCTGCCTGGGATGGCCAGTCAGCAAACAGCAGAAGGCAGAGAGAAGAATGATGGTGATTGGAAACTGGACAGGTGGGCCACAAGCTTCTTTGGTGCTTGCAAAGAAGATTTTGGGGCATGTGCTGTGAAGTTTTGGGTTGCTTCTCCAGTTGGATGTCTGTGGCTCTTCCTGTCCATCCCGTCTCCTTTTCATCTGCCCGGAAATGCTGTTTCTTCCAACACTCTGACCTGCAGCACTGTTTAGTGGCGCCAGACGCCCCGGCAACCCTGCCTGCCCAGTGGATTTTCTGCCCTTTGGAGAGGGCACTGTGAAAACGAAATGCCCGCACTTCTGGAATGGCCACAGGGTTTCTCTTTCCTGTCCAGGAGACTATGCTGGTTTTCCAGGCTGTGGCCTCCTTCGGTTGCACAGCACCTACCGCCACGATCTCAAGATCTACGCCTCTGATGAGGGCAGAGTCCAGATGACGGCAGCAGCATTTGCAAAGGTTCCTGGAGGGGGGGGGGTTCCAGTCTGGCCAGCAGGGGCCGTAGGAGGGCTCAGGTCCCTTCCTGATCCTCCGTGTGCCCCCAGCACTCTGCCTGGCTAGAGCAGGGGCCCTGCAGGGGCTTCTTTTGCAGAGTGGGGGGGAGGAGAGGCTGAAGCCGTGTCTTCCCACAGGGCCTCCTTGCTCTGGAGGGGGAGCTGACGCCCATCCTAGTGCAAATGGTGAAGAGCGCCAACATGAACGGCCTGCTGGATAGTGACAGTGACTCCCTCAGCAGTTGCCAGCACCGAGTGAAGGCTCGTCTGCGGGAGATCATGCAGAAAGACGCCTCGTTCTGCGCGGAGGACTATGAGAAGGTGATGGAGGAGCACTTCTTCGGCCTTCAGAAAGGCTTTTGTAGGCACCCCTATTCCAGCGAAAAGGCTGGGGGTGCTAAACTTTAGTAGCAGGTAGACAGGCAGCCAAAGGTTGTTCCATCGGGCTTTTGTGGCCTTTTGCTGCTGCTCTGGCTGAAGGAAGGCGCTCTCTCTCTCTCTCTCTCTCTCTCTCTCTCTCTCTCTCTCTCTCTCTCTCTCTCTCTCTCTCTCTCTCTCTCTCAGCATGATGGAGCCAGTTGGCCTGAATCTGGGTAGCAGCCTGGTCTGCCAAGGGCACTGTTGATCCTTTGCTTTGATTTCTTTCCAGCTGGCACCCACAGGCAGTGCTTCGCTCATCAAGTCCATGGGGATAATTGGGAATCCAGTGGAGACCTGTGAACAAGTCTTTCAGCTGATTGAGAGCCTCACTTCCCAGATCCAGAGGCGTCTGGAAGACCCCAAGTCTGCCGGTATGAGAGTCAGTTCCTTTGCAGCAGAGAAAAGCGGGAGCTGCGTGCATCTGGCCCGTGCCACAGTGGGCAGCTTCTGAGATGGTGGCTCTTCATTGTTTTTCTAATAAAACTCTTGAAGGTCTAAGACAGGGGTAGGCAGGACTCCAACACCCAGAATTCCTGAACCAGCCATGCTAGTTCAGGAATTCTAGGAGTTGAAGTCCACAAGTCATAAAAGAGCCAAGTTGCCTATCCCTGGCCTAAGAGTAGCTCATGTCAAGGGGCAAAGTCCTGGGGGCAGCAAGGAGTGTGAACAATGCACCGGGCTCAGGAGGCCTTGAATTGGGCTCCTCTCTCCAAAGGGGGGGGGTTGCTCCTCTGCTCTCCCAGCTTTTCTTTGCTCCCAAAGCCAAGTGTGGTGCTTGGGCAGGAGTAGTTGGGGGTCGCTGCTTACGGACATCCTGGGGTTGTAAGAAACGGCCGGTCTGCCACTGCTCTTGCAAGTGGCCATACAGGGTTCAGCTGATCTGTCCCTTCACCCGGCACTGATGGGTTGCTCTGGCTTGGCAGACTTGCAGCTCTACCACAGCGAGACCCTGGAGCTGATGCTGCAGCGCTGGAGGAAGCTGGAGCAGGACTTCCAGCTGAAGAACCGACGTTACGATATCAGCAAGATCCCCGACGTCTACGACTGTGTCAAGTACGACATCCAGCACAACGCTGCCCTGCAGCTGGAAGGCACCCTTGAGCTGCTCAGGCGCTCTAAGGCGCTGGCAGACATCGTGATCCCCCAGGTATGGGGCGCCCCTCGGCCGCAGAGCCCCACCGTCAGGCGGTGCTGAGGCTGCCCTGCAAACGCTCTGGCCTTTCGCAGGAGTACGGCATCAGTCAGCAGGAGAAGCTGGAGATTGCAGTGGGATTTTGCCTGCCCCTCATCAAGAAGATCCAGCTGGATCTGCAGCGAACCCACGAGGATGAGTCTGTCAACAAGCTGCACCCTTTGTAAGAAGTGGGCAGATGCCCCAGGCAGGGCGACAGGGTGGGCTTAGGCTGGGTTGTCTGAATACGGGAAGCCAGCGGATGCTGCTTTGTGTTCCTTTCTCCCACACTTGCAGTGGGCCTTGGGTGTCTTTGTGACCCAGCCCAGCAGGGCGACTCTTGCTGCCCGGCTGGTCTGTTTGCAGGTATTCCAGGGGAGTCCTGTCTCCAGGGCGCCATGTCCGGACACGTTTGTACTTCACCAGCGAGAGCCATGTCCATTCCCTGCTTAGCATCTTCCGCTATGGAGGCCTGCTGGATGTAAGTGGGGAGCAACCACCAGTACACTTTGGGGGTGCACAGAGCTTTGGCTCCATTTCTCAGCACGAGCCCCACTGACAAAGGCTTCTGAGCCTGGAGCCCTCCTGTTTCAAGGACTGGGGCACTTGTGCTGGAGACGGCCAGTCTTTGGTGGCTCCCTGTTCAGCCCCCTGGTCTCCTGAGGGGCAGCTGACAGCGTGATGGGCTTTGGAGTCCTGTGGGGCTGTGGAAGGAAGGGAAGCTGCCTTTGCCAGAGGCCAGTCAGGAGAGGTGGGAAGGCAGCAGCAACTCCCCAAGGCCCCCTTGCTCAGGACTCCCTGCCCAGCTTTGCCAGGGCTTCAACCTGGCCTCCCTCACCTGCTCCTTTCCGTGCCAGGCCTCGAAAGATGCCCAGTGGAAGAGGGCCATGGACTACCTGGGGGCCATTTCGGAGCTGAACTACATGACTCAGATTGTCATTATGCTGTACGAGGATAACAACAAGGTGAGGGCGGGGCCGACCAGAGCTGGGCCAGCCCAGCACTTGGCCCCGTCTCATCCACGGTGTGGCCTCTGCAGGACCCATCGTCTGAGGAGAGGTTCCACGTGGAGCTGCATTTCAGTCCCGGAGTGAAAGGTTGCGAGGAGGAAGGCAGTGCGCCAGCGGGATGCGGCTTTCGACCAGCCTCTGCAGAGGTGAACTTGTACCCAGGGAACCTCCCCTCTTCAGGGGTCTGCTGGATGCCGAGGCAGGGGGCCTCCTGTCACACAGAGGGCAGAGAAGCAGCTGCAGCCTTTTCTTGTTACTCCAACAATATTTTTATCCCTCTTTTCCTCAACCAAGCTGCAAAAGCAAGGAAGGAGAGCTCTTCTGTCTCGGCAGCCCAAAGCTGGCCAGCTTGCTTCTCCTTCCCCATTGCTAGCAATGCAGCTTCCGTGCCCAGAGAGAGAGGCTTCCACTGCTTCGAGCATCACAACCTCAGCTCTCTTACAGAAGGAGGCCAGAAAGCCGGAGCAGGGGAGTCTGGAGGACCTGGCCGAAGCCAAGGTCAGCGACGAGACAGACAGGGCCGAGACACAATCCCCGCAGCCTTTGGAGCCGGTCTGCGTCCAGCGCCGGTCACCCTTGATCCGGAACCGCAAGACGGGCTCCATGGAGGTGAGTGGGGGAGCAGGAAGAGGAGGGAGAGCAATGCATTTCAGCTGCAGCCCAGGCAGGGGCGGCCCTGGGGAAGCGCTCTCTTCCTTTGAAGAATTGGGGCTCCGTTTGCTTTATAAACATTTCCTTTCTGCAGGTGCTGTCCGAGTCATCCAAATCCAGCGGGTATCGGCTCTTTTCCTACGCCAGGCATTCGTCAGAGGGGAAACAGAGCGGCTTAGGTAGAAAGCATGAAAGTCCCTTTTTGCTTCCTCTTAGGCTGGCCTGACATGTGGCAGCCCTGAACCCTTGCCCTGAGTCCAGTGCTGAGGGAGCCAGCAGAGAGGGGAGCAGCCCTTACAGGGAGGCTGGGGAAGCTGAGACACGGGAAGCAGGAGCAGCATCTGTTAGCCCCTGAAGTGGCTCTGGTCCAGCTGAGAAGGTGGGGGGGGCTCCTGCTGAAGACGAAGAATTGTGGGGAAGTCTGCTGGTTTGTCCACCCTCAAACCAAGGAACCTTTCCTTCTGTGAAGGTTGGAGTTAGACTGGCCGAGTGAGGAGAAGTTAGTGATAATCCCAGCTCAGGAAGATGCCCCTTCTCAGTTGAAGAGGAGGACCTTCCTTTGTTCTCCTGCCTCTTCCTCTTCCTTTGAGAGGATTGACCCTCAACCCCAGTCTCTCCCATTTGTACATAGCCTGGGAAGGCAGCCACGTTGGCTGGACTACCTTGGAAGGCTGCTGGGGTGCCTGGCCCCCGCTGGGCATCACCGGTCTGCTTGTGCTGCTGGGCTGTTCAGGGGCTTGGCCCGTGGCCAGGAATCTCCCAAGCACCTGCTGGGGAGCAGCCTTCTTTCGGGGAGCAGTGAGGCCTGGTAGAACCGGGACCAACGGCCTGCTCAACAAGGCTGCCAGTTGGTTGTCTGGCCCAGGAAGGAGGCCTCCTGCACGAAGGGCCTCTTTCCGAGACGCTGCTTTTGAAAGGCATTAATGCCCAAGATTCCTGTGAGCTCCTCCTAGGCGCAGGGGCAGTTTCTTGAGTACCGGAACCAATGAGAGCTGCGTCCTTCTATTTTTTCCTGGCCAGGGGTTCCAAAGGGAAAAATTCCCCTCCGTTTCCATTATTGCTCCCCACCCAGCACCAGTCGTGCTCCATGACTCTTTTTTGCCGATGCCCTTTGAGCACAAGGCAAGGACAGCCACCATCCATTTGTTTCTGGCTGGCCCAAAGCTTGGAGACATCTCCTGTCCTACAGCTGGCAAGAGGCCTCCCCCACGGCCTCCTGGGTCTTGAGCTATCCTCTGGCAGATTGGGGGGGGGGGCTTCCCATCATGCAGATGGATTTCTTGCTTATGAATGAGAGGTGAAGAAATCTGATCCTGCTCTCCTTTCCAGGGTCACCGTGCTCAAGGCTCTTCAGCACCACAGTCCTGGGGGGCTCCTCCAGTGCCCCAAATCTTCAGGACTACGCGCGCAGCCATGGGAAAAAGTTTGTCTCCAGCTTTCTGTACAAAGAAGGTAGGTGCACCTTCTGATTCTGGGCCAGGGAACCAGGGTCCTCCTGGGCGTTGAGGCTGGGGAGGGTTGCTGCCAGCCCCTTTCTAGTCAAAAGGCAGATATGGGGAAGGACTGGCTCCTCCCTTCTGCCCCGAGGCTACTGCTTGTGCCTGGCAGCTGTTCAAAGAAGCATGGGGGAGGTCACTGGGGGACAGTAGATGTGGCTCCCGTGCCCAAAGAAACCCAGGAAAAATTGGGCAATTCATCCAAAAGAACCCAGCAGCTGTTTTGTAGATGTTCCTCAGCACATGATAATGGACAAAAGTTCACAGGCAAAGTTGACTCTGAATGTTAGGAATTCAAGAGGGAACCAACTACTTGGGGACAGAGGTGGCTTCCCCTTCCCTCAAGGGGTCCCAACGGAGGCAACATCTGCGGGGGGGAGGGGGAGGTTTTCATGTCAATTTCTGCAGTGAGCAAGCAAGAGTTGTACCCCTCCCCTCCCCTAATCCTGCAGCTCCTTTCAGGATCTATAAGGAAGACCCTCTTTCTGTCTTGAACCTCTTCAAGCAAAGGATCAGTTGGTCTGAATTTGGGTTGCCTGTTGTTAATCTAAAGAGTTCAGTTTGGAAATCCTTCAAGAGCTCTGAAGGTCCTGGAGAAGTAGGGCATGAAGGGCCATCGAGGGAGTGCCTGGTTCTCTTCAGATTTCAGACCTCTGATGCCGAAAGTGGCGCTTACATTGCCAAGGGCGATGTCAGAGTCCTCTGGATTTTGTTGTGGAATTGGACAGGACCGAAGGGAGAAATTAGACACAGAGGCAATCCCGGCATAGTTGGTGTGGTGGCTACTGAATTAACCCACTTTCTGGGTTCATATAACATGCCAAAATCATAAATTGACCAGAATAAGACTACAAACGAACTCTGCCTCTTATAAATATACCTTAACCTTCTGCCTGTCGTGGGCTGTTGGCTTGGCCAGCATTTGGAGTGCAGACCCCGGTTGAGCTTGGCTGGCAGGGAAGGGAAGGGAAAGGATGCAGACATGGTTGGCATCTCCTGGGACTGGCTGTTAACTACATTTCTTAGTGCCTGAAGCCGTGAAGAGGCCTGGGAAGAGAGGCAAATGGAGTCTCTGTCTCCTTTCCTTCAAGGCTGGGCTTGGGTCTCCAGTTCTGAAGACGCTGTCCTGCCTTTTATAGCCCTGGCCTTTCAGTGCAGTTCGGGGATCCAGTGAGCTTAGCCTGGCTTCTCCTCGGCTTCTCTCCCCCTTTCCTGCCCCTCCCTCATGCGTCCCCACCAGCAGCAGCTGCAGCTTTGGCAGAGGCCAACCGCCCCTCCTCCCCAAATTCAAGGGATGTTTTTTCTTGTTTCCCCAGAGCTCTTGTCTATGCCAGCCATAAAGAGATTTTCTGTGTCATTTGCAAAGCATCCAACTAATGGTACGTTTGCTTCTTAATTTGAGACTTTCTTCTCAGCTATCCCTCCCTTGCACTTGCTGTGTCCTCACCTCTTGCTCCGTTTTTGTGACTGGTTGTGTTGTGTCATGTTACGTTGCCTCACAATAACTGTGATAACTGTCTGCTTTTCTCAGAAGGAGGGGAGAAGGGTCACTTGGGCGCCACAATGAGGGCGTACTTAAGGGACATAAGAAATTATGTCCACTGACCCACGGACAAAGTCACTAGGGATTGAGCTCAGTTGGAAGGAGACTTGACTTTGAGGAGGGGGAAGCATTTCCTGCCCTGCGGAGGTCTGGCAGAAGGCACACAAACCCCCAGTTCATTTTGAAGCCCCTTTGCCTTAGCGCAGAAGCGTTTTTCTGGACCACAGATGGGGAAGGACGTGGGAGGAGGTCAGTTTCCAGAACAGGAATGGGGCCTTCACTTGGTCAAGAACTCCTTTGAAACGGGGTAGTATAATAATAACAACAACAACAACAACGTTGGAAGGGACCTTGGAGGTCATCTAGTCCAACCCCCTACTCAGGCAGGAAACCCTATACCATTTTGGACAAATGGCCGTCCAGTCTCTTCTTAAAAACTTCAACTGTTGGAGCATTCACCGCTTCTGGAGGCAGGTTGTTCTACTGGTTAATTGTTCTAACTTTCAGGAGGTTTCTCCGTAGTTCCAGGTTGCAGCCTTGGTCTAGGGAGCCACAAAAAAAAAAACCAACCAATGACCCTTGGCTGGTTTTGTTATTTTGCCAGATATAACACAGGTAAAAATCTCCTTTCCTTAAAGTGTTTTCATTTTTTTAGGAAACGGGCATTGAGCTATAATTTCCCCCATGTGCATTTCTCATTCCATTTCTTGTCCCCCTCCCCCCCTAAAAAAATGTGTATGGTTGTGATCTGTTTCCCTATTTGTATAAGTAGCAAGTGTGTCCATCCGGCTTTTTGTGGGTCTATTTGTTCTGCTGTGTGCCAGCTGAGGAGCATCCCAGCCGTCCTGCTCAGCCATCTTGTTTCAGGAATTCCTACCCAAATCAGAAGAAAGGCAGCGAAGCCTCCCATGACATTGCTTCCCCCCCCCCCGTTGCAATGGGTGGGGGGGCTCTCCTGTTGGCCGGGAGGTCCCTTGTGACTTGTGTTTACAAACTCAATTTCAGTGCTCTTCCCTTAGAGCACAAAGCCGCCTTTCAAAAAGCCTCCGATCACTTTTGATGAAAGGATGCAAAGGAGAGGCAGCCTGTCATGGCCTCTGCCTTCCCCCAGTAGCTGCTCCCAGGGTTAGCTCTGCACGTCTGGATTCACCCCAGATAGTACGGCCCTTCCAGCATTAACCTCCTGAACAGATTTTCTCTAGGATGAAACAGGAAGAAATGGCACAAAGCAATAGAAACACCACGAATGTAAACAAAGGCAGCAAATGAGACCTGGGCTTTTACGCAGGACAGCCCGTCTGGATAAGAGGGGGGGACATCTGCAGACAGGCCCTGTTCCCTGCTGCTGCTGCTGCTGCTGCTGCTGCTGCTGCTGCTGCTGCGTTTACATTTCCTGGACTGTCCCAAGAGTTTCTGGACCAGAAGCACTAAGGTTGCAGCTGGGTCTCCAGTTGCCCCATCCTGGAGCAGCCCTCCCCGAATGACGGGGTCTGGGAGGCAGATGCACACCCCCCCTCAGCCCCCAGTGCGAAGGGAAAGCTGTTAGCTCTGCTGCTTTGGCCTTTGCCTTGGGGACTGGAGCTCCATGTCTATTGCCCAAGAGGCTCAGAAAGAATCAGAGCTGCTGCTTCTGCTGACATTTGGAGTGACTAGAGTGGAAGCAGGCCGGTGGGTGAGACTCCACGGCACTGAGGTTGCTCTGTTTGGTCTGCAGGGTTCGAAGGCTGCTCCATGGTGCCCAGTATCTACCCACTGGAGACGCTGCACAACTGCCTCTCCCTTCGCCAGGTCAGCGATTTCTTGACTGCTCTGTCTGGGAGCTGCCCCGTCCCCCAGTCGAGGCCCTGCACAGGTAACCCCCTTGGGGGAGGGGAGGGGGGCCCTGGGCTGGGTCTGAACCCAGATGATACAGCTCTGGACCCAAAGCTTGGTTCCTCTTTGCACTGTGCCATTGGTAGACAGGAGAGACAGCTCCTTGTAGGGTTGAACAGAGCAAGTGAAAAAGGCAGACATAGGAGCTGTGAGTTTTCTGAAATTCCTGTATTACTAGTGGCTAATGGATACCGAAGCAGGAGGACATCCAAAGAGATGCTAGAGATGCTAAGAGAAAACAAGCAGCATTGTGGTTATTTAATTGGCTCCATATGTTACTTACAGTCCCTGGGGTCCTCCTTAATCTATCAGGGGAGCCCAAATGGCAAAAATGTCTCCAGAATTCAACTCCCCAGAGGGGTTGCTTTTGTTGGGCAAGTTTTAGAGTCCCAAAATCTTCCCCATCACCTCTGGAGTTGGTCAAAGGAGTGTCAGATATCAGTGAATGACGATTAAGTGTCCGGCAAATCCTGGATGCTGCTACAGCTCAAGGGGGGAATCATGATTCGATTGGGGCAGTGGTGGCGAACCTATGGCACGCATGCCAGAGGCGGCATTCAGAGCCCTCTCTGTGGGCATGCGTGCCATTGACCCAGCGGAGTTCACCAGAGTAGCGGGCACATGGCGTTTGGAAGCAACAGAGTAGGAAGTGAGCAAGCAAGCAGTGGTGGCCTCCCAGGAATGCCCTTGAGATGGCAAGGGACTGGCCCTGGCCATCCTCAACCAGTCTGCTGTGATCACTGCAGCCATGCCCACCCAGTGGGCTATGCCGCCCACATCCCCCCTGAGGGCACCACAATGCTGATGCAGCCCTGGCACTTTGCGATAAATAAGTGGGTTTTGGATTGCAGTTTAGGTACTTGGTCTCTAAAAGGTTCGCCATCACTGGGCTAGGATTAGGTCACCATGAAGTCCTAGAGCAAAATGGACATCGCCAACAAATTCAGAGTGCTTGGGTATGGTTAGGAGGGCACTGACTTTTCTAACCTGCCCTATCTATGTTTCCTAGTAAAATACATGGGAAAATCCCTTTGGAGGAAAATTCCACTTAGGGTTAGGGTTAGGTCAACATGAACTCATAGAGAAAAATGGACATCGCCAACAAACTCGGAGTGCCTTGCGGTTCTTATGTTTTTTATTTAAGGGTTAGGAGGGCAATGACTTTTCTAGCCTGCACTACTATGTTCCATGAGTTAAAATTACATGGGAAAATCCAATAGGAAAAAAAAATTCCACTTAGGGTTAGGGTTAGGTCAACATGAACTCATAGAGAAAAAATGGACATGACCAACAAATCGGAATGCTGGCTAGGGTTAGGAGGGCACTGACTTTTCTAGCTGCCCTATCTAGTTTACTGGTAAAAATACATGAGAAATCCCATTAAGAGGAAAATTCCACTTAGGGTTAGGGTTAGGTAACCCTGAACGTCCTAGAGGAAAACGGGACATCGCCAACAAATCAGATTGCTGGGTATGGTTAGGAGGGCCACTGACTTTATAGGCTGCCCTATCTAGTTTCCTGGTTAAAATTACATGGTGGGAAATCCCATAGGAGGAAATTCCCCTTAGGGTAGGGTTAGGTCACCATGAACTCCTAGAGAAAAATGGACATCGCCAACAAACTCGGAATGCTTGGGTATGGTTAGGAGGGCACTGACTTTTCTATCCTGCCCTATCTATGTTTCCTGATAAAATACATGGGAAAATCCCACAGGAGGAAAATTCCACTTAGGGTTAGGATTAGGTCAACATGAACTCATAGAGAAAAATGGACATCGCCAACAAACGCGGAATGCTTGGGTATGGTTAGGAGGGCACTGACTTTTCTAGCCTGCCCTATCTATGTTTCCTGGTAAAATACATGGGAAAATCCCATAGGAGGAAAATTCCACTTAGGGCTAGGGCAGTGGTGGCGAACCTATGGCACGTGTGCCAGAGGCGGCACTCAGAGCCCTCTCTGTGGGCACGCGTGCCGTTGACCCAGCAGAGTTCACCAGAGTAGCGGGCACATGGCGTTTGGAAGCAACAGGGCAGGAAGTAAGCAAGCAAGCAGCCTCCCAAGAATGCCCTTGAGATGGCAAGGGACTGGCCCTGGCCATGCTCACCCAGTCTGCTGTGACCACTGCAGCCATGCCCACCCAGGAGGCCACGCCCTAACGTCCCCCCTGAGGGCACCACAATGCAGCCCTGGCACTTTGCGATAAATAAGTGGGTTTTGGGTTGCAGTTTGGGCACTTGGACTCTAAAAGGTTAGCCATCACTGGATTGGAGTAAGAGCTGAAAGTTTTTATCTCACAAATCACAAGAGTCAATTGGAAGAGCTGGCTTGTCTCAGCAGCCTCTGTTTCAGTCTTAATTGGGAATGTCAGCTCCCTCCGAGGTCTGTAACCTCATTTATGAGCCAACCACAAAGCTCTTGTTGGTCTCCGTGCTTGAGCAATACTTCGGCTGGAAGTCAGCTAAAACTGCAGCACCAACACCGGACAGCAGGTAGGCAAGGGAAGGAGCAACATCTGAGAAGAACCCCGCTGTGTGATCTCCATGCTGGGCTCACAAACCACCTGAGGGAGCAGTCCTGATTCCGTCTATATCCTCCCCACCTTCCCATCTGTTGGCACCAAGGTTGACAGACCAAGAAACAGTTTGTGAGAGTCCCCTTGGCTAAATTTGCTGGCCTTGCTCCGAGTGCAGCTCAAGATTGCTGTTGGATGAGCCGAAGCTTTTCTCTGAAGGAAGCCCGTGCCGTAATGTGGGCACCCCAGCAGCCATGAATTTCCAACAAGGGCAGAAAGCCTTACAAAAGAGCTGCTGCCATGGTGGGCTAAAGGCCTCCAGAGGCCCCAGGAGCAATGGCTTCTTTGCCCACCCAGACCTCTGAGCTGCAAGTGGGGCCAGGGTGCTGGCTGCATCCGTCTGAAATGATTGGGGGGAGGGGGAGGATGGTGGGCCAGCCTTGGCTGTGTTCTGTGTTTCTTCTGTACTGGTGTCCGTCTGATTTGAGCCATGCAGTTTTGGGGTTTGTGAGTTGGGCAGCTGTGTAAAGCTGGTGAGCAGAATGGAACCAGGGGAGGCCACTGCAGTTGGTGCCCTGCTTGCCCACCACTTCTGCAAAGGAGGGAACAGGTGGCTGTTGCCCTATGCTGGAGGATGGGAAAGGAAGGCTTTGAGGGGGCTGGAGGATGGGGCAGCCCACCAGTGTCTCGCCAGGGGGCGATGGCTGGTTCAGGGAACTGAAAGGGTGGCAACAGTGCCAGATTCTGGCAAGCAGTTCTTTTGCAGCTGTGAGCACTCGGGCAGCCAGTGCAGCGGCAGGGAGTGGGGCTGCTCACGCCAGAGGGGTTTCGAGGGTGTTTGATCCCCTCTGGCTGCAGGTGCTGCAGAGACCCTGCTGTACTGGGGTCCTGGCCAGAGATCTGCCCGTGACGGTCTCCCTTCTGTTTGCCTTGCAGAGGGGAACAGCCAGTTGGATGTGGCCTCCGGTACAGGCCTCGTGGAATCCTTGTCCTCTTTGGCCATCTGCTTCCACGGGGACCAGCCTGGCAACCAGCTCCCCAGTGAGGAACTGCTCAGCATGGAAGAAGGGGGCCTCAAGGGCTTCTCCCCCGGGGGGGAGCTCCTGGCAGTGAGCGAGGAGGAGGCGGCGGGGCCAGAGCAAAACTGGTTGGAGGAGGCCCCAGCCCAGCGGGAAGAGCAGCCAGAGGAGGGAGAGGGGCAGCCGTGGGACCCAGAGCCAGACCCAGATGAGCTGAACAGCAAAAAGGTGTGAGAGATCTTACTCACAGGGCCCCCGAGCGAGCGAGGGGCTTAGGGACCTTGCCTGGGGAGACAGGGCAAGGCAACTTCTGCTCCTCGGCAGCACCTGGGAGACTGCCATTCCACCAGCAAAAGTTAAGAGCAGTGAAGACTCCAATAGGGAGCTCATATGGGTCTACGCTGCCTCACTGGAGCTGAGGAAACTTCAGGGCCAGCCAGGTGGATCGTGCACTCCAGGCTTTCCATGGAGGTCTGGTGAAGCCGCTGAAGCAGCAACCAGCCTGGCTTTGGATGGTGTAGGAAGAGGAATGCCCCCCCCCCCCGAAGCCCCTTCCCAGCCTTGCTGGAACCACCAGGAGAATCAGGTTTTCTTAGAAGTATACAAGTCAGTTGCCGGCGTGTGCGTGTGCGTGTGTGTTACCAAATGTAAATAGTAATATATTCTTTACATCAGTGGTTGGGGGGGGAAGGAGAGAAGAGAGATGAGTAGAGGGAGAGTGAGAGAGAGGGGGGAGGGAGGTGGAGAGACGGGGAGGAGGAGAGGAGTGGAGGGGAGGAGAGAGAAGAGAGGGGAGAGGGGGGAGAGTGACGAGGTGGAGGAGCGGGGAGGAGGAGAGAGGGGGAGGGAGAAGGGAGGGGAGAGAGCGGTAAGAGAGGAGGGAGAGAGAGCGGAGTGGAAGCCCGGGAGAGCAGGAGAGGGAGAGAGGAGAGAGAGGGTGTGGGGAGAGGGGGGTGAGGAGAGAAGAGGAAGAGGCGAGAGAGAGGGAGGGAGAGAGTGGGAAGGAGGGAGAGGAGGGGGGGGGGTGGAGAGACAGGAGGGAGGATGAGGAGAGAAGAGGGGAGAGGAGAGAGGGGAGAGGGGAGAGATGAGAGAGGAGAGAGGAGAGGGGAGAGGGGGGAGAGGAGAGAAGAGAGAAGAGAGAGGGGAGAGAGAAGAAAGGAGAGAGGAGAGGGGAGAGGGGAGAGGGGGAGAGGAGAGAAGAGAGAGGGGAGAGAGGAGAGAGGAGAGAGGAGAGAGGGGGAGAGGGGAGAGAAGAGAGAGGGGGAGGAGGGCTGATGATGAGGCGAGAAGAGGTAGGAGAGAGAGAGGGAGGGGAGGCGGGGGGAAGAGAGAGGGAGAGAGAGGTGCGGGGGAGAGTGGGAAGAGTAGGGAAGCGCGGGGAGAGGGGGTAGTGGGAGGGGAGAGGAGAGAGAAGGGGAGAGAGGGCGAGAGGAGAGGAGAGAGACGGCAGAGGAGGGAGGGTGGAGGGAGAGAGATGAAGGAGGAGAGGGGAGAAAGAAGAGACGGAGGAGGGGGGAGGAGGGGAGAGAGGAAGGGATGGCAGAGGAGAGGGAGAGGGGGGAGAGGAAGGTGGGAGAGGGAGAGGAGCAGAGGAGGAGAGAGAGTAGCAGTGGGAGGGGGAGGAGGTGGGGGAGACGGGGAGGGAGAGGGCGGAGAGAGGAGGAGGACGAGAGAGGGAGGCCAGATGTCATGTCCAAAATGTCGGTGGTTAAGATTTCTGTGTTTTCCTCATTTTGAGTCGTGACACACTCGCTAAGTCCATGTGATGTAGATTCAATCTGAAGTAAAACACTCTCTGCCCTGTTTGCATCATTATTCCCTGCCGGACTGAGAAGCAGAGCCTCATCAGATGGGGGTCTCTTTCTGTGGAAAAGGGGCCCAAGAGCAGAGCCTCCCTGAGCAGGAGCAGTTTGTCCAGGGGAGACAGGGATGTGAAGGAGCAAGGCTTGGCCTGGGACTGGCCGAGAAGCTGCCTGGTTTCTGCAAATCTCCAGTCAAAGGAGGCACAGTTGATGCCACATCATAGTTTCCTGGATTTGTTCATAAGAAGCCCAGGAGATGGGCCATCGGAATCCGTCAGATGTGCCCCAGAAATCTGCCTGCTCTATGACAGGAGAGCAAGTCCCGGCTGATGTTTAGGGGTTGTTCTGAGATATTCGCAAGGAGGAGTCCAGTGACCTATGGACGTTGGCTGTCCAGCAGCTTTCTCACCTTCTCCAAAGATGCTCTGCAGAGGAGAACAAATTGGTCCTTCCAGGGAAAGGAAATGGCAGGGAGGCACATAGGCACCGAGGAGCCGTCTGACTCATTCCAGGGTCTCCAGCCTGGAGGAAGGAGTCGCCAAAGGCAAAACAGCTTTGTCTGACTGGACAGCCCAAGGATCACATCTTGGGTTCTTGGCAACGGCTTGAAATGGTTCTGTTGCTTCTCCCAAGGCCTGGTGCGGTAATTCTGGTGATACTTTTTCAGTAGACGATTTTCTTTTAAGAAGGAGGCAGAGAAAGTAAATTAAAAGTGAACTGCTAGAACATTCCATGTTTAAGCTGCAACAACTGTGCGGTAGCACCATTCTGGAGGGAGCCAAGGGGCCTTCGCACACCAGGAGGGACCGCAGGTCAGAGAGACACTTGTGAGTGTCCAGATTTCCAGCTGGAGAGCCTTCTGGAGGCATTCATGCCATAGCTGCAAGGCAAGATGGTTTCCCGCTGGCAGATATTGGTCCCCCTTTCCCATGGTCAGGCAGGCAGTGGGGGAGCTTTCTAACCTTCCTTTTCTTGCTGAAGGAATGAAGGCAGCAGAAGAGGAGGAATGAAGGGTGGAAGGCACCCCGCTTGTTGTACCCAGTGGAGGCAGTTCTGGTTGGCATGAGAGGCTCTGTGTTCAAGCAGACTCCTGGGTGTTGAGATGACAGTTACGCTACCAAGACCCCCAGAGTGAAAAGAAACAAGCAGGTTGGGGGGGCTTGCTAGGAAAGATGGTGTGCTGAAATCTCCGATGAAGCTGCAGAAAGAGTGGAAACAGCTGGCTGGGATAAAAAAGTGCTGCATTGGGGACATTCCCACTGAGTTTGTGCAACTGGAAGTGGAATGTGGGGTTGGCAGATAACACAATAATGGCGAAAGAAATCCTCCTAAACGGTGATGACTCAGAGCTCTTGCACACCACAGCTGCTCCAAAGATCCCTGTTCTGACCTGGGGGTGTTCTTTGCTGCTCGTTTCAGTTCTCCACATCAGCGGTCAGCACCTCTAAATTCTGTGGCAATGCTTGAGGGATCTGCCAGATCCCTCTACTTTGCTTGCATGCCTTTTATTATTATGTACTCTTTTGGGGGGGTCTGCCATTCTGGTGAGAGGGGGCTGGGGAATGCATTTGTCTTGGTCTGTCTTGTTCTGCTCTGTCCTCTGTGAAAATGCCTCTCTCCATGAGAAAGGAATGTAGCCTGAAGATCTCTGCCTTATCTCCAGACAACGATCCTGGGACCGTTGAAAAACGAAACCGAGAGAGACCTTGAAATGGGCACTAAATCACCAGGTTCTCAAAACAACTTAGCACCTATGTACTGGTTGGATTTCAACCGGGTGGTTGGCCACTGGGGGGAGTTCTGCCTAGGCATTATGCTGTAACCTTTTGCGCACGAATTCTTCAGACCTTGATTTGTTCTAATGCTATCACTAACTCTCAATAAAAGTTCCTTTTGAAACAATGCCTGTTTCAAGAGTTCTGCTTTCTTGGGAGATCTAGTTGAGGCAGATCCTTACAGAATCATTCACCATACCCAGAAAGGAGAATTCGAAGCCTAAGGAAGGGCTTATGTTCATCCCCATGGCAAGGCTCAGCCTTCCAGGAATCAAGCACAGGTGCTTGTTATCTCAAGGTGCCCTCCTTGTTCTCACTGGCTGACTAGCCTTTACTCACTGCCTGTTGGTTTAGTTCCCATTTAACGTCTCTCTCACTTCCCCCAAACTTGCGCCCAAATCAGATCCCTGAGCTTTCCTGCTTCTTGACCCCAAAGCTATGGGAATCTCTGCCCATAAAGAGTGGCAATTTCTCCTTAGCCTTTGCTCCTTTCTTCAGCCCAATTTGAATTGTTTGGGATATCTGGGTGGCTAGAGGGAGAGCTGGGGGCTGGTGAGTCCTATTTCCCCTTTCGCAGCCCCAAAGAAAGACCTACAGCACAGTCATTCCTTCTGTGCGGCTTTCTCCCCACGGATCCTGATCAGCTGCATCTCCATGCATCCCCATTAAGGGAACCCAGCCATTGCCTCAGAGCGTCATATGTACAAAATCAAGATACTCCACTGTGCTGTGGTTTGTAGGGCACAGCCTGCTCAAGACCCACCCCGGCCTTTTCATGGTCCTAACTCTCAGCACACTAGATAAGCCCAGCTGCAGCTGGATTGAGGCAGGGGTCCCACTCTTGTGGCCAGGCGCCTTCAAGCCAGATGAGCAGCATCCCAGTTAAAGAGCTAGACAAGGGAGCCAAAATGGCTCTCTTGGCCTTGTGATCACCAGCGTGCCGGAGGGAGAGCCTCACACAGGTTGTCATGTGGTTAATGTTGCTTTATTGGTCAGCGCAGACCCATTCCTTTGCGGTTATTAGCATTACAGTGTATTGCACACAGAAATGAAGGCGGGCGAGACGTCGGAGGGGGAGCAGAAGGGAGAACTGTGCTGTTCAGGTGAGACTTCCACCCCACTCAGCAAAAGGGGCCCTTCGCTTTCTTTGCCAGGAGGCCAAGTAAGTCGTAGGAACAGGAGTAGTCGGGTACTACTAACTGCCACATGCAGGAACAGCAGAAGCAGTGTTTTTCTCCATCGGTTGCCAAAAGCCAAATTGGTTCTCATGGCTAAAGATGAGCAACGATTTTTATACATTTTGCCATAAAATGGGAAAGGGGAGCCTGCTGAAGCTTGCTCCAAAACTACAAAATATTGGAGTGGCTCTGAGGCACGGCTGTGTGAGGAGGAAGAGGAGGAACAACAGATGGGTCAGAGTCCTTGTACCACTAAGAGGAAGGAAAAGTTCTTGGTCTCCCTGCTTCCCCCCTTCCTCCCCCCCCATTAGCTTCAGCTTCTAAGACACGTTCATAAGTGGGTCAGTACATTCACTTGTCTAACTACAGACGTACACTTGGTCTGCCAGCTAAACACCAGTCAGAAGAGCAGCAATTCAAGCCACGAGAGCCACAAAGGTTGGCATGCATTTCCCCTCATCCAGGACCAGGTGTCCCAAGGCTGACCTGGGTCCCTGCAGAGTGAAGGATTCAAATGTGTGTTACCAAGGTGATGGGGAAAGAGACAATTCTTCATCCTCTGTCAGTTTGCAGCATTTACCGGTAGAAACTTGAGTACCCTGTGACCTGGGAGTTGAGCCTACAATAAAAGTCAAAACGTTTTAAAACACAAATGCAAAACAACTATACCTGTACATGGAAAAAGTATACAGCATTTAAAAAAACCCAATAAATTAAACAATAACCAGAAAAAAATAACATTGCTCTATTTCTCCTGATCTGCTCTCTCCTTTGAAGGGTGCCAGGACATCTGGTTCTTCCAAGCCGATCTATTCCTGCAGAGAACAAAGAGATGCTTTCTTACAACCTGCCCAGAATTGCACCAGGCAGCTCCCAATGCCTGCTGCCACGACCGCCAACCCATCCCGGGCACAGACAGCTTTGCATGGATGTGCTGATCCAGATCATAGCACAGAAAGTGAAAGGTTTTGCTTTCAGCTGGGCCTTTGAGAAGATGAGAGCTGTGGGCAGAGTGGCAGAGCCATCCCAGCCTCCGACCCTTGGACAAGGGCAAAAGGGCAGCCTGGTCACAGGATCACCACAGGAATCTCCCCCCAGTCAAATTATTGTGCCACCGAGGGGAAGGTGGGTTGTGCCATCTCTCTGAAGGGTGCCAAAGAAGTAGCATTTGCCACTTGATGTCTGCTCTCTGGAGGCATTCTCTTCTGTGCAGCTTCCCCAGAAAGTAGAGCCTTGTGGCCACCTCCTTGCTTGGCTTGTTCTAGAGGTTGAGCCTCCTCTTCTCCATCAGGTCCCCGTCCTCTTCTAGTGTAATCTCCAAGGGTTGCCCAAGAGCCGAATCCAGAAATCCAGCAGGAGGGAGCTCAGCCACGGGATGAGAAGGAACAGGGCAAAAACAGTGCAGACAAAGCAAATCAAGAGAACCAAACTCCTTGGTAGCGATTCCAGGGAGAGCAAGCAAGTGGTGGGGCCACTCTGCACACGTCGAGGCGTGTGGGACAGGTTTTGGGGGCTCCGGCAAGCAAGAACCATACAGACGGAGTACTGCTCCTGGTGAGTTCAGCTGACACTCGGGAAAGGCAAACAAATCAAGCGGTGGGGAGCAGATGGGTCTTCCGAGTGCTGCGTGGGCGGTGAAGGAGAGGAGGAGAAGCTCAGACCTCAGAACTCGATCTTGCAGGCAGGGAAAGACTCGTCCTGCATCACGACGGTGCTGCTGCTGGCCAAGACCATGATCTTCAGCTCCTGCTGCTTCTCGTGCGTCTGCTGGTACCATTCTCGCGTCACCTCTGTGTCGTGTGTTGGGATTAGGGTTACCTGGGGAAACAAAGAGATATGGACCACCTGTGAAAAGGCTGTGGATTGCCCTGAAATTCTTGCCAGTCTCTGACAACCAGAGGCGGTGCAGATTCTGCTGCCAGCCACAGCCACTTTCGGCATGACGGGGCTGTGTGGGTGTCTGGGTGTTGTTATGGCAAAGTAGTTGCAGGCCAGCAGATTGATGGGGGTGGGGGGAGGGGGAGACTGGAGTGAGCCTGCCTTCATCCTGAGCTGGGCTGTCAGAAAAAAAGGCTGACCTTTTGGAGGCAAAGTAACTTTCTCAAGGAGGAAACGCCTCTGCCCCCCTCAGTTCCAGGACAGGAGCCCAGCTGGTGGATCAGAGTGGACGTTTCTTCTCAGAGTGATGGTTCTATTGCAGAAGAGGATCCTTGGGCCAAGCGGACATGGCCCAATACTTCATTTCCAGAAATGGGTCTTACAGGCCACCACTCCTGAAGAAAGGGCGGCCAGCCAGGCACCTACCTGCAGGTTCTCCCCCCACTGGGCTTTTCCCGCCAACAAGGCATCCAGGACGGCACGGCTGGGCTCCCCACTACTGGGGTCGTTCCCACTGACAACATAGTAAGAAGCTCGGACTCTCCTGAAGAACTCCTGGTCTGTATTTTTCCCGCTGCAGTGGTTGGGGACGTAAGCCAAGTCCACGTAGACGGGCGTTCCAGGTGGGGTGGAGGAGCTTTTGGGGCTGCTGGAGACTTGTGGAGAGAAAATGGAGGTTTTTGATAAAGGACGCAACAACTGGAAACTTTTCCTTATTGTTTGGTTGGAAGAAACAGATAGTCTAAGAAACATCTTTTTTTTTTTTTTACACTTTACTAAATTTGCTGGGCAGTTCACAAAACGGAAGAACTGATTGCTAGTAAATAACATCACACGGCTGAACAACGGTCCGTTCCAGAGCAGGGCCCAGAGAAAAGGGGGCCGAGGGACACTCCTTTCCCACAAATTGCTATCATGAGAAGCTGAGGAGAACGAAGAGAGGGAATCTCATCCTGCCAGGCTGAGGCTGCATCTCCCTGACTGAACTCTAAGTGGGAATCTAGAAACTGCAGTGCATGTTTTTGTCAACGCTGCAAGCTGCATACATATCCGGTAGGGAGAGAGAGAGTGAACTTAAACTCTTGGATATGTAAAGAAAGCCTTTAATTGTTTCACTGTTGCTTCACCTACTACTAATCAGAAAGGCAGATAAAGCAATAGAGAGAGGAGGAGGAGGAGGCATCTAGCTTATTTAGCCCCTGTAATTCATTTAATTCTGTCTAAATAGTTTTTATGGATAAAAATGAAAGTAGTAACTCGCCCTAGATTACTAATAAAGGGGGGAGGAATGGACAAGACTCTCTGCGGTGTATTTCATTAGTTCTTGTGACCCCACAAAGCCCCCTGACAAAGGCTAACCTCCCCCAGACAGTCATCCCTCTGGAGGACCCGAACCTTCCCAATCTCCGCCGTACCTCTGTTCATTCTTACCTGGGCCGGTTTTGACAACATTGAGGAGGTTCTTGCCAGGGCTGGTGTGGGTGCTTCGAGAACCGTCCTCTCGGTCTTCCGTGGGGGGCTTGAGCAGTTTCTCTTTCCTGGCCATTGCTGGCTTTGAAGACCTGTCCGATGGTTGTTTCATGGGACTAAGTAAGTGCTTATCCGCTTTCTGGTATGAGGAGGAAGAGGACTTGGACTTGCCCAGAAGCTTCTTTGATGCTTTGTTTTTATCCTTCAGGCCCTTCTTGGGCACCTTGTCAAGTCTGTTCACGTTCTGCTCAATAAGCAGGATTTCAGGATCCATCATGCAGACATCTGGGTGAGGAGGCTGAGGCTGAGGGTCTACCGAGGAAGCAGGCTGGGGGTCATGGCCAGACTTTGTGCCATGCTGGGAACTGCCTGCAGCTTTGTCGACTGGGAGATAATCGGTATCTTCATCCGAGTCTAGGGCTGCCTCTGCTGTAATTGAGGGACATTCCTCCGTTTCTGGAGGAACATCTGAGTCGGACTGAGAAGTCCCTGAATCACTGGCAGAGGTGGGAGGAGTTTCCTCCACAGCAGAAGTAGCTGCTCTGTGGCCACCAGGAACCGAATGTGGCTTTCCTTTGAGTGAAACGGGGCCTTTGACCTGTGAAAATTCACTGTCTTCTGATGAATCGTGAGGACTTGGATTGATGAATGATGGAGATAATTCACCCTTTCTTGGCTTACGCTCGTACGATTTCTGCCCACAGTGAGATATGGCTGTGAAGCACGGCTCCACTGCTTGGCAAGGGCCACCGTGCTCCTCCGTTTGGCTGCTCAGCCGTGTACTTGGGAAGTCCTCTTGGGAAGGGCTCACCAGGGACAGGGGACGGCTCTGCCTTTCACAAACCGCCTCCTGCTCCTCCCCCGCCCGCCTGGATTGTTCTGAAGTGGGGGATGATGAATCATAAAAAGTGAGTGGATTGACTTCTGTGGGGCCATTAGCTGTGGCTCCTGCCTCTTGCTGACCACGAGGAGAACCAGCCAGGACATTAGGGAGGGGAGAGGTTGCTGCTGGCCGTTCTTGAGGGCTTGCTGGCTGTGGCCAACAGCCGACTGTGCAAGTGGATTCCGAGGGCTGCACGGCCTTTGTGCCGGCAGAGGCTACATCCTCTACAGCATCCGAAGCGGCCTCTTCTGAAAGCAACTGAGAGAGGCTGTGTGGGCTCTGAGCCCCCGTCTCTGCAGCCCTGGCCCCTGAGATGTACTGGAGGCTAGGGAGGGGGCTGCTGCCTGTTGGGTGCCCCGCAGAGAGAGAGGTCCCCGAGAAAGTTTCCTCAGGGAGGCTGGATGACCCCTTGTGGATCAGATAATCTGGGGATGTCCACAAAGGGAGCTTTCCTTCTTCTTCTTCATATAGCTCTACAAAGGGGGAATCCCCTTTTTTGGATACCTCTAAGTATTCATCTTCTTGACCCTTTCTTGCAGGTTCAGGTGTGCTTGAGGTGAGAGATTTATGCTCCAAGTGTGAGGAGAAATGGGCTTCGTGTCTGAACAAAATGGATGGCTCATGCTTTTCCAGGCAAGAAAGTTCAAATCCGGAGGAAGAACAATCAAGCCCTTTAGGCAGGAGGACGGGTCCCTTTGGGGAGTCCTTGTCTTTAGCAGAGGCTGCAGGTAAAAAGCTTTTGGGGTCAACATCATCACAGGCTTTTTCCGAGAGGTCCTTTTGCTTTTCCACCTGGGGCACATTTGAGCCCCCTTCCTGTCTGCTGGGATCTGCGAAGCTGTCACTGGCTGTTTTCTCTCCCAATGACCCATCATAGACCTCTTGCCCTGGGACAGAGATGTTCTCCTTCTCTGAGACAGTACAGAGTTCCTTTCGCTTCACTGTTGAATACTCTGGTGCTTTTTCTGACCTCTCCTTGGCACCTTTCTCTAGCTCGGAGTCACTAGCACTGTCTTCTCTTTCAGCTTTCTCGTAATAAATGTCCTTGGGATGGAAACCTGCTGAAGAAGGAGACTCCTGGTCCTGGCTGAGTTTTCTATCTGAAGGGCTCATCGTTTCAGAGGGAATGATGAGATCTTTCTGATTAAACATGTCCCTGAAGGTCGTATCTCCCAAAGAGGAGGCAGGCTGGAGGCTCATTGGGCTTTCTGGTGGGCTTTCTTTAGATTGTGTGTCTGTGGATGTCATGGAACATGGATCCTGCAAACACTGCTCAATAACCTCCGCATATTGAAAGGAATGCCCCATCGTAACCTTTGGCGAACATGGGGATGAGAGTTCTTTCTCAGTAGGAGTGGAGAGGTAAGAATCTTCTTCTTTGGAGGAAATGGGGTAGAGGAATTCCTCCTGAGGTCTCAGTGCTTGAGTACTCTTGGCCACAGCATCCTTTCCAGGGTGGCCAACATCAGACATCGCCACACTCCCATAAACATCAGCATACTGGAAAGTTTTTTCATGAGGGTAGGGAGTTCGTTCCCTCTCTTCATTGTCTTGCCTTTTCTCACCCAACTTCGCTTTGGAATCGTGTGACTCCAAAGGACCGGAGGGGTCCAGAGTGCCTGGCCACTCAGAGCACTTGCTTTGGCCAAAAGAATGTGCATCTTGTGAAGGGATGTCAAGGTCCCTGCTTCCTCCGCCATCTTGGTCAGGATAAAACTGTCTATTCTCCTGTGACTCCGCATCTGCGCTCAGAAGAGCTGCAGAAGTTCTTGGCTGCTTTCCATTTCCATCTGGGTGATCATAAAGATGCTCAGATGATTTCTCATCAGCATTTTGGTTTCCCTCCTGGGTCTCCACAGCTTCACTCCTGGGGTCAAAAGACGGTTGTGGGGTCACTTTCTCCATTACTTGATTAGATTCAGGGAGAGGTTCTTCCTTTCCTTCCACTGAAGTGGGCTTCGTGGCCTGGGGTGGAAAGGACACAAAAGCCCATTCCAGACTTGATTTTGGCTCACTTTCAAGTTCAAAAGAGTGACTATTTTCAAAGCTACAAAGTTCAGCTTTCTCTGAATTCAAAACACTTTGATGAGGATCTGCTTGGGGAGCTGGCTTTTCTTTCAACACAGACTTGTCATCAACAAATAAAAAGCCGTCCTTCTCATCAGCAACGGCTTCCTGAATGGAGCCATGTTCAGAATCCAAACCACCCTGTTTGGGAATATCTTTAATCTCCATGAAGTGGATGTTTTCTTCCTTCTTAGCAGGTATGTCTACCTCATCATCCAAAAATGTAGACTCTCCCTTTTCTTTGTCATATTTCAGTTGCGGTTCTTTGCATGGTACTTCCTTCATTCCCTCTGGAAACCACACTTTTTTCTCATCATTTATTTCTCTCAGATAAGAATTTTCTATTTTTGGAGATAGTTCATTTGTTTTCTCTTTCTTTCCCAGAAATTGACAAGGTTCTTTCTCTTCAGATGAAAATTCCAAGACGTTGTTATCTAAAACTGGGCTCTCTGATGTGAAGCCTGAAGACTTTGGGTCTGGAGATGTTTGTTTGGGAGGTAATTCCTTGTGAGTTTGTTTTTCTGCTAAGGAAGCTGATCTTTCATTTTCCAGAAAAGGGTCTGCTGAAGCCTTTGTTATTGTGGCATCTAGAAATGGATGTTGCTGAAAGTTTAAAGAGGAATTGCATGGATCCTCTTTGACATCAGTTTCTGATCTTTCATCTGTACTTGGGCTCTCTTCTGGAGAAGCTTGGTGCTTAGCTTTAGGAGACAATTGTTCCACAAGCATGCCCAATGATGCCTCTTTAACAGGGCTCTCTTTTGTAAGCAGAAGTATAGTATCTCTTGGAGAAAGTTCTTCTTTGAATATATACGAAGAGGTTTCTTCATGAAGACTCAGAACAAGCTTATTATCTTCTGGAGAAGCAGACTCTTTTTGCTCTAAGCCAGTTTCTGTCAAATGCAAACTCTCTTGAGATATTTCAGTGATGAAATTATCAGACCACGATGTCTTCCCAGGAATTTCATCAGTAAAAGAAGATGCCTTTTCTTCTCCCGGTAAATTAATGATTTGTGAAGATTTTTCATCTCTAGATATGTCTGAAATTGCTTCCCATCCTTTTGGCGGAGGTATTTCTGAAGCAGAGAACTCCTCAGCCCCAGACCTAACGACATGTTTATGGGATGCTTCCTCAGCAGTGTCGACATTCTTAGATAAAGCATCTTTTACGTTCTCTAGAAGGTTATCTTTAGCGGGAAGATCCAGGTCAGAAATATCAATAGTTTCTTGCTTGTGGTAGAAGCTTATTGCTAGCTCCTCTTTCTCCAAATGCTGGATCCTGTCTTCATCCGGTGCAGATAAAAATCCTGCATGCGGGATGGCTGTGGCTTCCAGGCCAGGCACGTCATGAAGGCATGTCTTTTTGATTTCATGACGCTCCCCCTCACCTTCAAATGTTCTGGATACATTCATCGCTCTGTTGGGTCCTTCTATTTCAATCCCCATTACAGGAGACTTTGCTGCCGTTTCAAACATCTCTGCCTCTGCAGTGTCCAATTTTTCCTCTATAGGGGATTGATGAAAAGGTGTGTGCCCTGCACTAGTGGGGCCTGATTGGGTGGGAGATGCCATCTTGACTGTGCTGTCATCAGGGCTTATGCAGCGATCTTCAGCATCACCTATGCCTTGTTGTACCTGCAGCAAGTGTACATTTGCTTCACTCAAAAGCAGGGTGGTTTTCTGAGGTCCTTCCATGGATCTTTCACTTGAACTATCTCCCAGGGGCCCTGGCTGTGCAAACACTAGGGCACTGTAATGTTCTTCTGCTTGCCAAGGCCTCTCAAAGTGTGGAATTTCTTGCTGCTGCTGCTGCTGCTGCTGCTGTAAAACTTTCTTGCAGGCCTCAAGTTTCTTCTCGCTTTCCGTTTGACTATGGAAGTCTTCTGGAGGAGGAGACTTAAAGCCTTTGTCTTCTTCTAGGGAAGACGTGGGAGAAATAGTGCCAGCAGAAGGCACGTAATCTAGGCCTTGGGTGACCTCTGTTCGAGAGGAAGGTATGCTGTTCACTGTATCCAACAGGAAGGAACTTCTGCCTGTTTCCTCTGTCTGTGGGGCTGTGATGGATGCGACTGACTGGTCTTCAGCAACAGAAGTGGCAAAGGAGGAAAGTTTGTCACATTCCGTTATGGATGTTGCTGAGGAGACATGCTCCTCTTCGGCCAAAGGGGCTGCCACCAGGTTTGTAGGGTAGGCAAGGATTTCGGGTTCCTGTCCAGCGTACCCTTTGGCAACTTCCGGCGCGGTGAGAGTCTGGATCCCATGAGCCGTTTCAAAGGTGTCTGTCTGATCTGGTCCTGCAGTGTCATAGCTGCCAATGTCTGGCTTGAAGTGTGCCATCTTCTCCTCTTGCTCATCATGGATTTCCTCATCCGAAATGGTCTGCTCTGTCTCTGAGTAGCCAGGGATGGTTTCATCTTGGATGTAGGAGATGTGTTCTCCTGATGGGAAAGGGATGCTCCCCAGAGGAGAGTCCTCCCCTTCTCTTATCCCTGGCAACTTCCCAGGTACTTTGCTGGTGTTCACTCTTTCTGCCTTGTGTTCTTTTCCTTTCCCATCAGAAAGCAAAGGTGGGCCTTGCGGCGGCAGGACTCGACAGAGCTCCTTCTTTACCAACTCTTGGCCTTTTGTCTTTACATCTTCTTCTAATGTCCCTCCCAGCTCTGCCTTTTTAAACAAATCTTCCTCTTTCGCGCTTGTGTCTTCTCTCGGGGACGCCCAATCCCTTCCCGAAGCAGCATTTCTTTCTTCCCTGGGTGATGGTATCCGATCTTTCCCTTTTCCTGGAAATTCTCTGACGCTCCTTCTGACGTTCTCATCCAGTTCTTGCCCAAGAGGCTCTGCGAAGGCTGCTTTCTCATCAGGTTTTTCAGATGGCTTCCCTGCTTCCATCACCTCACCTTTGGGGGAAGCCATCTCCTCCTCTGGCATGGCCAGAGGAAGAAATCCTGAACTACCGGTTTCTTTGGATACCAGCATCCCCTTTTCAACAGCCAGGTCGCAGGGATCCTGTCTTTCTGCACACGTGGAGACTGCCTCTGCTACTAAAGCTGCGGATGCAGGATGAGACTCGTTTTGCTCTTCAGAGCTCAGCTCCTCAAAATCCTTGGTCAGGTCCTCTGGTGAAGATATCACAAGTCTCTCCTCAGCCATAATTGGTGGGTCTTGAGGCCGGTCGTGCTTCTTTGGCACAGTTGGAGACTTCTGTTCTCCAGTGGTGCACTTTTCAGTTTTGGTACGAACTTTGTCAGTTTTTATTCTACTGGGAACTTTTGCCTTGTATAAAGTTTTCCTTACTTCAGGGGTAAAGGCCTTCAAGTCTGGCTTAGAGAATTTTTTCAACTCTGGTTTAGCTTCTTTCTTTTTTTCATCTTTCCTTGAATCTTTCCTTTCTTCTTTCTTTCCATCATCTTTTTTAATCTCCCTCTTCTCCTTTTTAACATCTTTCTTTTCTTTGTCTTTCTTTTCTTCCAGTTTGGAAACTTTCTCTTTGAGATGTTTTTTGCCAACTTTGTCTTTGGCAAGTTTTCTTTTCTCAGCTTTAAGGGCATCACTGGAGTCCATTTTTATTTTTTCTGTTTTAACCAGCTTCTCTTGAAGCATTTCAGAATGCTCTTTCCCTTTTTTCTCAGTTTTAGACTCTTTTACTGTCTCCATCTTCATCTCTTTAGAGCCCTCTTCAGCAACTACCGTTGTGGTAGGAGGCTTAAGCGATAGCTTGAGGCTCTCTTTACTGTCTGTCCGTTGTTTAATCTTGGATTGTTTAAGCACAGAGGAGGGTGTGCCAGAAGCCACATCCTTCTGGGTAGCTACAGGATACTTCAGAAAATCAAGATGCTTGAGTTTCTCAAGACCTTCCAAAATCTTATTTTGGGGTGCATTTCCTGGGAACAAAACTCGTACAATTTTTTCTGTTGGTCCTGCGGGAAGCCACACTACAAGGGCCGTGATGGATGTTAGATAGGGGACCGAAATCTCCCCTTCTTTCCCATTACTAAGGATAATGCCTGTCTTGGCTTTACTGTTTCCAGTCCACTTTTGCATGAGAAACTGCATCTCCTTGCTCTCTTTGACGGGGTTCAAGATGTACATGTCCAATTTCCCACCGCCCATTTTGTGGAACAGAGTGATTGGCTCAACAGTATTGGTGACCACTCTGTAGAGAGGCTCTGGCTTGATGCTTAGCCTGTTGAGGTACTGGAGGGTCAGGCTGGCTTCTGCGATGCTTCTTTTGACTTTCATGGAGGACTCTGGCATTCTGAGCTTCTCAGGAACATTGAAGAAAACCACCCCGAGCTCTGGAGACAGAAGGTTCTTTATCCAGTCACTGTAGTTAGTGGAGCCCTGTGACTGCTCTTCTTCCTGCTCAGCGATCTTCCTCTGCAAGAGTCCATTAATGCCTGGGAGATTGTCAGCCCCGATGTGGGTCAGCAGAATTGAGTCAATCCTATCCAGATGTCTGACCAGCTTCCAGAAACAGGACTTCCTGTCTGAGCCACCGTCAACCAGAATGTTGAATCCGTTGACAGCGAAGAGAGCCGAGTCCCCCCTTCCTCCTGGGAATATGTAGCAACAGGGCTTGGACAGCTTTAGAAACCCCCCAGAGGTTGGGGGTTCCAGCAGATCAAAGGGCGATGGGACATCCACCGTCTCAGAGACATATTCAGCAAATTCAGATATCCCATCCATCTCTGGCAGGACTGGGTCAGGATTAACTCTCAGACAAAAAAGGTCTTCGAAACTGGAGTGGCCAAGATTTCTCCAATCTCCTTCTCCCAAGCACGATATTGTGAGGGAGGTTTTAGAAGCCAGATCAGTATTACTGAGCAGCTGGGCAACCTACAAGAGTTCAAAACAGGCTGTAATCATGAAATCTTCTTGATTAAGTGCAAAAGTTATTTTTGTGATTGCTATGCAAATTCAGCTTAATTAAAAAAATACTACCCAATCAATCAACAATCTATAAATCATCTGTTACTCCTGGATAACCTACAACTATTTTTATTAGAAACATGTTTGTTTGTTTTTAAATTTATATGAAATATAGACATAAATTTATATTACATTTATATGAACTATACCCATAAAGATGTTATTTAATCACTGACCATTGACCAGAAGAGCAGCTACCTGAAAGGAATTTCTAAAGAGTCTAAGACAGTATCCAAGATCTCTGGAATATTTAATTTATGCAGTTCAGATGATGGAAAACATACTGAATGTCTCTGAATTAATGTCATGTGGTGAGTCTCCATGTAAAATGGTCTCTAGCTCAGCAACTCAAATTGCTAGTGCCAAATAATTTACTAGACTCCCAAAATTAAATTCAAGGAAGAGGGGGCTAGAGACAAGAGAACGAAGCCACCTGATTTCATTGGAATCCAAGTTTATCCACTTACCTCTGGATCTGCAAATATCCCGGTGAGTTTCTGGTAGGTGAAGGTGCCAGTCTGCAGAATCAAATCACCTCCCTGGTCAGAGCTCGGCCCACACAGGACTAGCAGCTTGTGGGCAGAAGAGTCACATATGAAAGAACGGACCTGTTTACATCAAAGATGGGATTTCAGCTTCCTATTCGTGACTTCTGGGTTTTCAGAATGTTATAACAGACGTGCCCCACCTCCCGCACCTCCTGCCAAGCTCTGTGGTGCTTTTGGACTCATGTTCACCCAACAGCGCTCAGGAGAATCAATACACCGCAGTTAAATATGGAGGAAGAGCAGGAGGTCACCTTACTTTTTAGAAGGCAGGGCCTGGATGCTGTAGCCAAGCACACCGTTTTGAGGAATGGCTCAAGACATTTACCCATTTTAGCTCATATTTGATAGGTCATTGTACAGTTCCATTGCAGGAACTCTGGCAAAACCAGACATGCTGGCCTTGTGTGTTTTTACCTCTGACACTGCGCTCCATTCATCAGGATTGACTAAGATGACTGTGTCCAGGTCCTCACTCTGGTGGTGAAGGGTCCTCTGACCTGGAGAGAAGTAGAGAAGCTTTGTTTTTCAAATAGATCTGCCAAGTGCACACGGGTCCCCTGTTTGCTTCAAAACTCAAGGCTATTGAGTGCTATTGACAAATGGAGTCCCTCTGCGAGGGAGATGAGTGACTTCAAATTTGGGATAGATTAAATAGATGGACAGAAAGAGAGAGAGGCAGAAAGAGACACACCTTGGTCATGCCTGGTATGCCATCAAAACCTAGGTTCTCGGGGATGGGGCTACTGCCCTCTTAGGTCTGCTTGCCAGCTTTTGAATCCTGCCTCAGGTGCTCCAGGAGTGACAAGGTGCTAATGGTCACCTGAGACAATGTAACAGTGACCTCTTGTGGAGATGATGAGTTGTGAAGGTGGCCTGCTACGCTGAGCCTAGAGAAAACAGGAATCCCAATCATGTCCTTCCAAGTGGATCCTTCCTGAAGGACAGCCCCTTGGAGTTCTTTAAACTATTTGTGCTGTGGGATGTCAACCTCCGAATAGGAATTTCTGGAACGATTGGAAATTCACTGTATCGTGGTAATTATGCGTTTGTCACAGGAAATTTCACACCCAATCCAGAGGTGGCTTTAGACCTCACCTTCATCTCCAAATGGTTGATGTGCAATCTGAAACGGGACAATGGGAAGGTTCCTGCCTGACCCACGTGAGTTTTGCTCCCACTAGTAACCTTCCTAGAGTGGGAAGAATGGGGAGGAAGGTCTATCCAGGCAAGAGATAATAGATTCAGAAGCATCTCTAAGCCCTTGGCAGGCTCAGCAAATGGCCAAGCTCTGGATTACAAAGATGCTGGTTGAGATCCCCCCTTGCTCTGCCCTGAAGCTCTGAAACAGCAGCCAAGAGATCTGGACTGAAACTAGAAGCACTTTTATAACCAAGCCTCTGCTGTGGAGATTAGGGCAAGAATCCTTTCTCTGCCAGTGGAAGGTGCCCCAGATCCCTCCTTAGGAGGACCCCCGTCATCTAGCGGGCAGAAGGTTCTCCTGTGAGCAGCCCTGAGATCTTGGGAGAATATTTTCCCCCAAACTCTCCCATTTGCTCTGGACTGGGCTGCATGGATGAGGGATGGGAGGTGGGAAAGTGACCCCTGAAGGACCCCTTTGCCTGCAGGAGGCAGCCCAGAAGGGAGTCTGCTCTGCTCCCTGGAGACAGCGGCCACCCCTGGTCAGCCTTCCCTTGAGGACCCGGTGGCGGCGGACGGCTGAGCTCTGTGGCTGCGTTGTGCCTGCCTGGGAGAAGGGCGGCCCTCCGGCTGCTTTCCGACCTCCGAGGCCTGGGGGGCTTCTCCAGGTCGGGGCCCTTCCCACAGACTCCATCCCGCCTTGCCTTTCGCCCGATCCACGGGAGGCGCTTTCCCGCGCCCCACACCGCTGGCGCGCGCTTCCGCCCGTCGCCCGAGGGACGGGCCCAAGGCTCGGCACGGCTGCGGGGCCCGGAGGCGCCCGGGCCGCTCCAGGGGGAAGCAGCCGCGCGGCCGGGAGACTGTCGCCGCCGCCTGGGCAGCCGCGGCCGCTCGCGCCAGCTGTCCCCGAGGCCGGCGGGGACCCCTCGGCTGGAGGCCGGCGGCTCGGAGCGGGGAAGGGGCGGGGCTCGGGGCGTTCGGAGCAGAGGGCGCCAGCCGCGGAATTTGCCGCAGTGGGCGCGCCGGGCGGGCGGGCGGGCGGACGCGCGCATCAAGTTCCCGAGCTTCCCTCCCCGCGGGAGACGGGCGGGCGTTGGCCGAGGAGCCCCCCCGCAGGCCCAAGAGCGGCTCGGGCGAGCGGCCCCGGAGGGCGGCGGGCACCTGCCGCCTCTCCCCGGACGAGGCTCGGGAGGCTTCGCGCGGGCCGAGAGGAATCCGGGGGGGGGCTAATGCGGCCGAGCCCCCTCGCGCCGGAGGACCGCGGCCGCCCCGCGGGCCTCCTCGGCCGGCTGGCTGCGCAGAACGCCGGGGGGACGCCCGGCCGCTCCCCCGCTGGCCAGCCGCTGCGCGCACCCGCCTCACCTGCCCGGCGGCGGCGGCGGCCGTTCCTGGCGGGGTCCCTTGCCGGCACCGCCCCCCGCTTCGGCTGCCCGCGATGACTAGCCGGCCACGGGCCCGGGAGCGCCAGACAGCTGCGGCGGCTGCTGCTGCTGCTGCTGTCAGCGCGCGGAGGAGGAGCCGCCCGCCCGCCCCAGCAGCCGTAACCCCTTGTGAGCCGCGGCCGCGCCTGCCGCCGCTGCCCCCGCAGGCCCGCTGGGCGCCGAGGCCCGCCGGCGAGAAGATCGGGGCGGACTCCCTCCTTCCTCCGCCGCGGGCAGGCGGACGGTCTTCCTGCTGGGTGGTTCGGGGGTCCCCCCGCCCGCGAAGGAGCTCAGCGCCCGGCCCCTCCCCGGGAAAAGCCTGCCGAGCGCGGCTAGGCTGCCCCGGCGGTCCCGCTCCCCGGCCCCAATGGCGCGGCTAGGCTGCCTGGGCCTGCCCTTCTCCCGGCTTCGGCCCCCTCCCGGCGACAGAAAGTTCAGGACCTGGCAGTCTGGTCCATTCTGCCGGAGGCTCCGCTTGGCGCCTGAACCGTCGGTCTGGCCGAGGGTCCTTTGGTGACCCCCGAGGCCCCTTTGCTTGGGATGCCCGAGCTCGGATTCCCGCCTCAGCCGAGGTCCGGCTCCGGTTCGCTTTCCGCGACAGCAGCCCTCGATTCCACTTGCCCGCTGCGTGGCTCTCGGCGGCTCAGGGAAATTGCAATAAAATCCAGAAACAAAGGCATCTCTTCGAGGGCCTGGGTGAAAAGTTCATCCACGCAGCTGCGGCGGTGGGGCAAATGTGGCTGCAGAGAAGGGGGGCTTCTGGGGTCCCAACCGGGAAGAATCGAACTGAAGGAACACCAGAAGCCCCCACGCTGCAGGACTGAATGCAAATGCCCCCGGTGGTAAAGAACAGTAAAGAAATGTCCATGTTCGTATATACTTCTATAACATTTTATAGGTTTTATATATGAAATAAAGCCAGAATCCAAGTAATGCCCTGCACTTATTTGCTCCATAACACTGGCAATGTCTCATCGGTATCCATTCCCAGAGTTCTCCTGAATAATGCCAACAGTGTCATTTCTTTCATTCTCTATATCTCTCTAAACTGGATTTATTTTATTCCAATTTCATTTCTCAGCCTCAGTCTCCTGGGTTGACTGACTCATCATTTTCTTTACTTTCTTTTATCCCATTTCCCTAGAGAAGCATACACAGAACTTCACTCTTCCACAATGCCAATGGCTTCTTTGGGAAGGAGGCATGAAGGACGGCCAATCACACTCTGTTTATGCATTCAGGATAGTTCACGGTTGGAAGAGCTAGTTTATTACTTATTACATTGCAAGCAATATCGGGAAGCTAGATTTTTATGCATTTGTTAACCCTGAATCTGCCTAGCAGAGAAGAAAAAAAATCTATTTCATGCTGACTGATGTAACAAAACAATGTAATTTTCCATTCAACCACAGTTTCCCTTGGAAAAAAAAATTAAAAGTGAAAATGCCAAAGCATCCAGGACATAATGCTTAGTTGCCAATTGCAAATATTAATGACATGTCAAACTCAAAAATCAACCTCCTAAAATCTTTAAAACAACGATTAAAACCCACTGTTTCAAAGTAGTAATCCTTTGTTTAGCCCAATTGCTATAAAATATGTTCCTTGCTATTTCTTGATATTTGAGATATAACTACGTCAATTTCTCATGTGATTTGGGATCAATATGCAACCACTTACTTATTATTAATGAAGGATACAATAAAATTTTCAAGCGATTTGCTTTATTTACTCTTGAGCAAACAGGCATAAACTTAGGATTTGCAAGTGTTTTACACAAAATTATGGTGCATCAACCCTACGAATATTATATATGATTCTGGTCATATGCTTGAAAAAGAAAACTCTAGGGGGAAGCCAATTTTGAAAATGAGTACTAAAACAACAATTCACAGTCTAACCTGATTTGGGCAGACCAAAGGCAACCAGCATTCAACTGCTCAGCGGGAACGTGAAAGTTTTTAAGAGCCTTACACAGGGCGAAAGTGGACAAGCATCTTTTTAACCAGGACAGAGAAAACAAGCCAGTGACCTGCGGTGAAGTGACTGCAGCCAAAGCTGCTAGATCTGCCTCCCCAGGGTTGGCAGACAAACTCTCACACTTAAAGCTTCCAAATGCAGCTCCCTGTGGGATGCATTACAGAAGTCTAGGGGCTCATGGGGACTCCATGCAAGCCTACCAATTTATGGAGACTTCTGCCCTTTAAGTGGGTCCTGGACTGGCATCAGTAGCTTATTCACAATGCTTATTGGAATGTCAAAAATTGAAGAAATGGATTCTGACCTTTGACCTCTGATGAAAAGTGTGCAAGATGACCCGTGACAAAGAGTCTGAGCTGCTTATTCAGGTCACAGAATTGAAGGTCAAGGTCCCATGAGCGAAGACCTGTTGAAAGACAGGAAATAAAATCAAAGTCACTTTAAACCATGGCAATTGCTGGTTTGTTGGTTTGAGCAAACAGCTCTGGGTGGCTCACAATTAAAGGAATATAATTGTGTTTATGTAGAAAAAGACTGGCACCACCACCACCCCCTTTTGTATGCTGTCAGGAGTTGCCCAGAATATACACCTCTTCCTGCAGGATTATTCTCAACCCACCTTCCCTCAGCAAGATGTGACTCTTGGTCATGTACAGAGTCAGATTACTCCAGCCCCTCCCTGAGGTTATTTTGCATATGCTTTCCTATCTCAGCAGCCTCTGAGGAATCCTGGAACAAGCCTCGAAACCAAAGATTGTTATTCTGCTATTTGTCACCAGACTGATTTTTTTTCCATTCTGAAAACCCATAACTCTTACAGGCAATTGTTTTAAAAAATATCATGTTATGATTTTAGGATAGTAAGTAAGTAACAATAAGTGATATATTCATTTGGTTATGTCTATTTTCCTAGAGCTATCACTTAAATATACTAAAAAAATTAGTCCCCATTGACTTAAGACTTTTATTTTAATTCAATAGTAAATTACTACAAAACTTAGTAATTTACTGAATTACTAAAATTATTAAGCTTTTGGTTCATAGTATTGCCAATTTAGTAAATTAATTCTTTATTTTCCATATCCTAATAAATTGTACTCAATATGGGTCATTGACTTTAACAAAAATCAGATTGTAAAAACATCAGTCTGTAAGCATCTTGAAATACTATAGTAATTATCAAAAATAAGCATGGATTTTTAAAGAAAAAAATCTTACCAGATTAACTATCTCATTTTTTGCTTAAGTAACTTTCTTAATAAGATTGTGAAGAAAACTATGGACTTAATATGTTTTGATCTGCTCTTGAGTACCAATGTAGATGATCAAAAGAATTAGAACTACTTGAAGACTGAGGCGGACACATATCAACACACTTCAAGTATCTGAAGGGGAGTCAAAGAAAAGAAATTCTCCAGATTGCAGGATGTGGAATAATGGATTTTACTGATGGATTTTGATTGATTCTTAAGAGTCACTTTAAACAATCATCCAGAGAGTTGGTGGCCTCCCCTGTACTAGATGTGCTTGAGCAGAGGGTGGTGTCTTTTGGGGGTTTGCCTTCCTCCACTGAGTGGAAGGTATGATTTATGACTCCATGACACAGAAGAAGTCCTAAGGATCAGCAGGGGAAGAGCCGATTTAATTTTCTGCTGATTCAAGGGGAAACGGGAGGGGGCGGTGGGGGAAGGGCCAGAGATTAAGAAGCTGCAGACCCCAGTCCAGCTCAGCGCAGCCATGGAAGCTTCCGTGGATGAGTCATTGTCTCTCAGACCAACTTAGAAGGTTGTTATGGTGGGGGCAAAGTGGGAGGGGAGGACGACCTCTACAGAACCACCTTGAGCTCCGAAGGAGAGACGGGATGTCAGCAAGATGGGTGGCATTGCCCTCCGTCTGTTCTTCCAGCCGGACGGCTCCTCTGAGCAGTAGGCTGGACTGGACTGCCTGGTCCAGAACACCAAAAGCGGTTTCTAGGCAGCCCCTGGAAGCAAAAAATGCCCTGACGGCTCTTCCGAAGTGATTTCCTGGAGGGGGTCAGTGAGAAACCGGGCGCCTCTCCCGCCTCCTTTCTTCGTCTCGCTCGCTACTCCGGGAAGAGGAAAGGCGCAGCGCCACTGCAGCAGTTTCTCCAAAGGCCGCCGCTGCACCAGCCGGAGCCAGCTCGCCTTTCCGGGTTCCCGCGGCTTCCTTGCGCAGGGCGGAAACTTTCCTTGCCGGCTGGGAGCCGCCTCGCGGGTCCCGAAGCGCCCCGCAAGGCCTTTTCCCGAGGCGGTTTCCCCGAGGCGGGGGCCGGGGGGCTTTGGCTACTTTCAAGCTAGCTCAGCCGAGATTGCCCGGGCGGCTAGCTCGCCGTCCTGCCTTCCCCGCGCCCGGCTCTTGCCCGCCCCCGCTGTGCCCTCGCCTTTGGCTCCGAGGCGCCGAGCTCCGCCACCAGAAACGCCGGGGCGTTCAAGGCTCTGTTCGGAGCTCGGCTGTCCCGTGGAGTCGGGCCCTTAGGCCGCGGCCGGCGGGCGCTCCTCCGTCTGCGCGGCGCGGGGCTTCCCCACCGAACTCCTCGGGAGGCGAGCGCGGGCCAGGCCCGGGGCGCGCGGTTCTTGGGGCGGGAGAGGCCATTGGGAGCCCCCCCCCGTCCGCGGAGTCCCGGGAGCCCCAACGGGCCGCTCCGCCCGCCCGCCCGCCAGGGACGCCCCGCAGCCCGGGCTCTCCCCCCCCCCACCGCCCCGGCCCTCCGACGCAGCGGCCGCGCGGTCCCTGTCCAAGGTGCTGAAGGCGCCCGGTTCCCGGCCTCTCGACGGCTTACCGCGCTCCAGGCTTTGACGCAGCGCCTCCCGCTCCGGCTCCGTCCCGATCTCTCCGATCACGGCCAGCAGCGCGTGCGGCTGCCGCCGCCGCCGCTCGCCGCCGGGCGCCTCCATAGCCGCAGCCACGACTCGCGCTGAGCAGAGGCCGCCGGCGCCGGCTCTTAAAAGCTCTCGGCCGCGCCCAGGTTGGCCCTGCCCCGCGCACGCGGACGCCCTCGGCCGCGCCCCGCCAGGCTCCCAGAGGCGGCTGGCCGGGCCGGCGCGCGTGTCCGTGCGAGGTTGGCGAGAGGCTGGTCCGCGCCGCAACTGCGACACTCGCCAGCCGCCCGCGCCGCCCTCGCTCCGGAGACGCCGGGGAACGGCTGTCTGCAACGGACCGGGGAAACCGAGGAAGCCCCGGCTGCGTTTCCGAGGGGAGACGGGGCGCTGTGCGTGACGATGGGGAGCGTGGTCGGCGTCCCAGTCTAGCGGGGAGGTGCCCGGAGTCTTCTGGCGCTCTCCTTAGGTGGCCGGGTTGAGAAGCTAAAAACGGAGAGTGAAATCAGTTGGCGTTGTTTAAAACTAGACTTTCTCCCTAAGGGATGGCCGGAAGCTGCCAAATATTAGGCGCTGGAGCTATTGAAGACTACTCGTTGAGTACGGTTTGCCAGCCAGCTACAGATCCAGCTGCTGGTGATGTTGTCTATTCCACCTTTTTCTAGCTTACCAAGGAGTAGGTTGTGGTCTACTTTATCAAATGCCTTCCTGAAGTCTAAGTATACTACATCCACGGCATTTCACTGGTCTGCTAGTTTAATGACTTTATTGAAGAATGAAATAAGATTGGTTTGGCACAATCTGTTTTCAAGAAACCCCTACTGGCTGCTAGTTATAACTGTTTGCTGCTAGTTGTTCGCAGATCTGTTTTTTGATCTCAAGAAGGCAGTTTCCAGATTTCTGGGAGTTCTACAGAGTGGCGTATGGATCTGGGTCTTGCACCATCACCTTCTTTGAGTGATCTCTCTACATCCCGCCTCAGAAGAAATGTACGACCTAGGTCAGTTCTGTCCAAAGGTGGCTGAGTCAAAAAGAACTGGACAGATCAAAGTCAGCCCTGGGAAGCCACGACAGATGCGCCAGTGTGATTGAAAGGGCAGCTGCCAAAGGGTCTTTAAGGGCAGACAGGTGCAGCAGTCGGTCCCAGAATCCATTCTATTGTCCTTAATGCGTGGTTGTGCTGCATTCACGGGAGGATCCTGCCCACTAGACTAGTGTTCCTGGAACAAATGTGCAAATCAAACAGCCACCCTCAGAAACAACGCCAATGATGACGGGGCCAGTGGTGAAGCCCGAAGGCGGCTTCAACGGCATCCGCACCGGTGGAATTCCGGCCCCGGGAGGCGAGCGGGAAAGCCCGCCCGCGGTTCCTTCTCCTGCCTGGACTGGCAACCTCGAGGGCCGCGGGGACTCTCCAGAAGAGGCGTTCCCACACCGAAAGGCCCCGCCCACCCAAAGCCCCGCCCTGCCCCGCCGTAGCTAAAGGGCCCGGGACGCGGAGGGGTGGCGCCAGCAGGGCCTGTGCTGCGCCTGCGCACGTGCTCCGAGAGAAGGCGCCGATGCATGTCTGGGAAGGGGGGTGCTTGCCGCGCGGGCGGCCTGCGGCTGCGCAGACCTGCCTCGTCGCCCCGCCCACCGCCTTGCCGCCGCGGGCGTCGCCATGGACCCGCTGGGCTCGGCCTGCTCCGTGGCCGACTCGCCGCGCCTGCTGGTGGAGGACTCGCAGCCGGAGCCGGAGCCGGAGCGGGCCGGAGGGGCGCTAAGCCCGGTCCTGGAGCCGCCGCCGCCGCCGCCGCGCTTGCCGGCCTTTCCGGAGGCCGGTGAAGGTGAGGGGCGAGCGGGAGGGGGGCGCTGGCGCCTCTCCAGGCCGCTCCCCGCCTGGCAGAGCTGCCCTCCGGCCAGCGTGGGGAGCGCGGGAAGGCCAGGACGAGGCCGGGGAGGCGCGGCCCTTCTCCAAGGCGGCTCGGCAGCCTTGGCGGAGGGGGAGGGGGCGGCGCCCGGGGGCTCCGCCGCTCCTCCTCCTCCCCCCGCCCCGGAGCCGCCTCGCTGTCGGTGGAGGCCGCGAAGCCGGGACCTTCCTCTCCCCGCCTTGCTCTCCTCCTGCCGGCCCAGTCGGGCAGAGGGCTGAACTGGAGGCGGCTAAGGCGGGCGAGAAATCGGCGGTTGCTGCGCGGAGGGCCGGGCCCTGCTGCCAGCCCCGTTTCTCTAGCAAGCGCAGAGGCGCCGCTCGAAGGGCTGGTTTAAAATAAGGGCAACAGTCTCTTCTGGGTATTTCAGTTGTGGCAAAAGTTTCAGCTTTAAGGCTCACACAGCTACTTGCGTTAGTAGCATGGTTGATCACAAAAGAATTAGGAGACTGCACAACGCCCTCGGGGGATGCCTGTGTCCATTGAGGCGCCCCCCCCCATGCTTTGGTGTCTGCTGGGCACCAGGGTCCCTGGAAGGGGGAGGGAGGGAAGGCCTTGGTGGAGCAGCCCTCCTTCATCTGGGCTGATGTTGCTGACTTGCTCAAGTCTAAAGTCAGGTTTTCTCATGTTCTGCTAAAGCCATTGTGGCAATTGCATCGTTTATAAACATCAATTCCTGGTTCTTTTTCAGTTCCATCTGCAGACCAAGATAAAGCAGGCTGTCATACAGTAAGGAAATCCAGGAGTGATTATTCTGAAGGGTAAATATATCCTATTTGTTTTTCACCACAACTAAAACAAATGCAAAGATAGCACAAGTGACAGTCCTTCTCTTTTGTGAAAGGCCTGCAGGAACAGCCTCCCAATTCTCATGTGGGGGAGGGGATCTCATTCCGGAGGGCAGGCATTGCTTTCAGGAAGGCCCTCTTGCAGGGCCCTGGTAGATGATGCTGTTGAAGGAACCCGGAGCACACAGCCAGGCAGATCTGGCCAGCTGAGCAGACAGTACAGGAGACAGAAACTCCGCCTGTAGAGAGAAATGGTGGAATTCCAACAATGGAAGGAATTGTGCAGATGGACAGCCTAAGGCGATTTCCTAGGCAGAGAGTTTTTTGTCTGGCTACTCCTGGCATTAAGATGATTTTCCTAATGTTCACCTGGAGTTGCCTTTCTGTAACTCACATTGTTATTCTGTGTTCTGGGATGAAGGATGTCTTTGGCCTGTGTAGTATCCCTTCAGGCAATTGATATATGCCACTGTAATTCCCCTCTTCTGAGGGCTTTGCGATTTCTCTCAATCCTTCCGCAGAGGATCAAGTTTGCAGCTTTTAAATTATCTGCAATTGAAAAGTCCAAATTCTCTGAGCCTTACCTGTACAACTGATGTGCATCCCACTTGTTTTGACTGCCTGAAAAGTTACTGGTTGGTACCTATGCTAGGCCGGGAGAAACATTTGCATTTGAATTCCCCAGTTCCAGCTCTATGTCCAGCCGTGTCCCTGGAATAATGCAGCCCCACAAAGAAACTCCTGAGACCCCAGGTTCTCCCTGCCTCCTCCTGGAGAGGACACCGCCAGTGAAGAGCCCTCATCCTTGGCCATTGGAGGATGCTGAGCCTGTCTCTTCTACACAGGAGGACATGTTTAGCCAGAACAGCACAACAGGTAAAGACCGGCTCTGATCTCTTTCATGCCTACTGTTCCCACCCTGAAGTCAGGCTGGCCTGCTTTGCTTATCCTGGTATTTGAGGAGCGGGTGATAACAAGAGAGGAGAGGTCCAGAACCACCTGGGCCCACAAGTAACTCCTTTTTGTAAACCGACTTTTTAATGAATAGTAATTTTAAGTAGGATGGTGAGAAACAAAGTACATACAGCTATTGTGAGCTAAATCTTAAATGGAATAGAAACCACTTGGTCCGGTCCCACGTGCTACTTTGTGGGGAGCGATCTGCACATGCTGTTCAGAGCCCTAGAGCTGGCAGCCATGTGAAGGGTCAGGGGTCTTTTGCAGTTTGGGGTAGGTGCAGGAAAGCAGCACTGGCAGCAGGGACCCGGAGTTTGAAGTGACCCTATGTATGTTTTAATGCAATTGGAATAGCTCCGGGCAGTGGTTGCACCATGTCTAGACCAGAAGAGGCAAGTTCCTCATCATCCTCTCCGAATGATCCTCTGCACGTCCTTCAGCTCTCTGGACAAGGACCTCTTTCCAAGTAAGTGGGAAGCTTGCCACTTTCTTTTCTGACTGATGTCTCTCCCATTGAGATCCCTTTATGGGTGACTTCCTTTTGGGATGGTTCCTTTTTTTTTTTTTAACCAGTTTCTTTGCTTGCTGCTCCTCCTTTCTCCTTTTGGTGATTTTGTTTGGGTTTTTGCTCTTCTCTGAAAATTTGAGGCGTGCAAAATATTTCAAGGTTGGCTCTAAAACTTGAGATTACTTGCAGCCCGTTTTGAAGTTGGACTGGCAGATTTCGAGGTCAGAACATTCATACTTTGAGATGGCTTGGCTGTCTCTCCTGAGGCCTCTGAACCCACTTTGCTCTTCATCCAGCCTTTTGCTTGTCTTCCGTTGGCAGAAGTAGAGGAATGGGTGTGCAGATGGAGGCCTTCACCTTTTGACTGTTCTTTTCCCCCTTAGTTGTGCTTCAGGTCTTGCTAGAACAACTTCTGATGTCTTACAGCCAGTGCCTTTTATTCTTCCAAGAAGCCCAACTGAACAGGAGGCAGAAGGTATGCCATCCCTTTTTGCCTGATTAGTTTGGCCAGGATTAGTTAAGATTGTTCCATCGTGGGACTGTCCCGGTTGCCCCCTTGGTTCTTGGGGGAAGAGAGTCTGACTTCATCTTGCATTTAGGAGTGGCAGTGCAGTGGAGTAGTCAATGTTCCTTTCCTTTGTTTACCATGGGGCTGAAGGAATATGGCTTTCCTGTTTCCTATTTGTTTAGGAAATTTATATGGCTGCCCAGCTCAGGGTGACTTTAGGAGACATTCAGAAATAAAACCCCAGCTCTCGCCTCCCTGTGACAACAACCAAACAAACCATTTAGTGGGCTCCGCATCACCCTGGGGTCCCCAGGCCCACTGGCAAAACCAGTGTTCAAAGGGGCCCTTTGAAAGAATATGAAGGAGGGAGCCACCGTGGAGAAGACTCTCTTCCTTGGTTCCACTAGATAAACCTAAGAAAGGGGACCTGTGACATACTCTGCCTCCTTCATTCTGCTGGGTCAGATGGATGTAACTGGGAAAAGGCAGGCCTCCAGATAACCTGGCCCCAAGCCATGTAGGGCTTTGAAGGGGTCAACCAGCATGTTGAATTGGACCCAGGAGGAGATCGGGAGCCGGTGCAGCTCCTGCAAGAGAGGTGAAGTTGTGTGCAAGTCGAAACTTGGGCTGCCACATTTGAACCAACTGAACTAATTGAGATTTCTGGGAATTTTTTGAGAAAATCCCATGTACTGTGACAGCCATCACAGCAGTCAAGAGCATACTCAGTTTTCTAGAGGTTGTAATCTCCACTTTTTTCCGCAATTTTAACCAGGAAAGCAGGAAAGTCCAACATTGGAGACGGCAGGCACCCTTCGGGGTTCTGTTCCAGCTCCTCAAGAGGCTGTCCTGCTGCCCTCCATCCCTCTGCCATCCCAGCCCGAATTCTCTCACGTAAGTGGCTGCCTGGCTGCTGCTGGGAGGAATGCAGGGAGCAGCCGGGCAAATGGGCCTCTCCTTTCTACAGGCCTTTTCTGTGGCAAAAGGATTCTGAAAAAGCACAATTGTCAGCCTAGAAACGATCTCCTGGGGGGAAGATTGTTTTAGCCCTTTCCCTAAAAAGAGAAGGCTTTCTTGCTGGCAGAGAAGAGCCGTATTACGTTTATGGACTTTTTAGAATAATTTTATTAAAGGTTTTAAAAATGAAGATAAAAACTAATACAACTGAATGTAAAATGAGGAAGAAAAAAGAAGAGGCTAAAAGGGGTGACATGACAACAGTTTTCCAGTATCTCAGGGGCTGCCCCAAAGAAGAGGGAGTCAAGCTATTCTCCAAAGCCCCTAAAGGCAGGACAAGAAGCAATGAATGGAAACTGGTCAAAGAGAGAAGCAACCTAGAACTAAGGAGAAATTTCTGACAGTTACAGTGAGGGGAAAAAGTATTTGATCCCCTGCTGATTTTGTACGTTTGCCCACTGACAAAGAAATGATCAGTCTGTAATTTTAATGGTAGGTTTATTTGAACAGTGAGAGACAGAATAACAACAACAGAATCCAGAAAAACGCATTTCAAAAAAGTTATAAATTGGTTCTAGAGTCCATGATAAGTGAGCCAACTGGGTTTTGCAGAGGTCTGTCAGGGATAGCTAGTCTGCCATAGAATTTCACCTGGAAGCCACAAGATGCTGCTTACGGTCTTGCTCTAACTGTGTTTTTTTAAATTGTACTTTGCTCTTTTAAATAAGTGGGGCTTGCTCTATGGGGCATTGGGAAGAGCAGTCATCCATGCATGAACTTGGATCACGTATGGGTCTGCACCCCAAGTATTAGCTTTCTTGGTGTGTAGCGGGAGACACTTTGTGAGACTAAGCCTCCACCTGGCTCCTGGTTGCAGAGTGGCAAGAGGGATGGCATCCCTTTTCTTTTCCTTTGCAGGACACCTTTCTCCCAACTCCAAGCCTGGAGGAAGGCTGTAAGAAGGGAGCAGAGAAAGGAGGATGTTCTGATGACTCTGAAGTGCCGGAGGCTGCAACATCAGCCTCTTTTGCAGAACCCGAAGAGAACAGCTGTATTTTGGCCCTCTCTGTTAGTCAGGATAGCCAGGTGACCCCAGTGGAGAAGAAGGAGACCACTGGCGTTGCTGCTGCTTGTGCTTTGGAGGAGAAGCTTTGCTTGCCTGATGGCTGTAGTGAACAGGAGGCCGATGAGAGTCGGCCCTCATTTGTACTGTCGGCAGAAAGCACTTCCCTGGACAAACCTTGTGATGACCTCGGCCATCAAGGCAGGGTGCCAACCAAGGAATCTTTGTTCCTGGAGTGTGACGCTGTCCCGGACACTCCCTGTGAAAAGGCAGAAGAAGTCGCCTTGCTGGATGAAGGACTTTCTCTTCGTTTGACAATTTCTCAGGCAGTAGAACAAGCGGAATGTTCTGCTGTTGGGGAAGCCTTTCCCCAAAACGATCCACATGTAACTGGCGAGCCGGCACTCGTGGGGTCAGGCAAGCTAGAGCAAGGTCCTCGGGACAATCCCAACGAGCCTGTGCTGGAAGTGCAGAGCAAGGGTCGAAGGATTAATCCTGGAATGATGCTGAAAGAGTCCGATTCTGAGCCCCCACCGGAGGAGGGGAGTAGCCAGCTCCAGAGAAGAACTGGTAGTTTTCCTGGGGAGATTCTGCATGCCCGTGTCCCACCAGGTAGGAACCTATGTTCACCAAGCAGGACCCTGATCCAGGGTGGTAGCAACCAGGGGATCCCATCTGAAGGAGGGCTGCTTTGATCCGTTGCTTGGTATGAAGACAGGAGAAGCAAGAAGGCGGAAGGGTGAATTGATCTGTTTTGCTTGTCATTTCAGAGCCGCCCTTTCGTATCTCGTTGGCGAAAGAGAGAGAGGCCCTCACCCCGCCTCTGGTGGGCCAGCACAAGGAAGGCCTCAGGCACAGCACTCCCATTGGTAAGTGGAGCATGGATTCCCGTGGGGCAGGAAGAGGGTTTCCGTGGGAGCCTTTCTGGGTGACGGACCCAAAAGCCGGGGGAGGGGGGCTGAAGCTCTGCATGGTATTTTTGCCTGAACTATGAAGAAATCCCCTCCAGAGGTGGTTTTGCCCAGCCAGAGCTTTGGGGCTGCTTGGCATGTTACCTAAATGACAGCTGTGGTGCTGGGAGAGGAAGCCCAGGTGGGCACCCATCTCCGTGGATCTTGCAGATAAGAAGAAGCCGGCTGTGGGTTGCTGCTGGCTCTGCTTTAGAGGCCCCAGGAGCCCTTCTGAAGCTTCCCTTTTCCTTGGCTTGTTTCAGGGGCGGGAAGTGACCCCGAGCACCCTGCTGTGGGGCCAGAGGGCAGAGATGGCGTCTTGGCGGGGGCTGGATCAGCTGGCTCTGCAGCCCTTGAGGAGAGCTCCCAAGGCAGCGCTGTGATGGCCTGCGAAGAGGAAGAGGAAGAGGGGCTCTGCCTGCGTGGGACCCTGGTGACCCCCGTGATGGAAGAGAGTGACGAGCCTCTGCCTTTCAGCCTGGAGAGTAAGAGAGGCCACCCCAGGAATGGGGAGTGGGGGGGGGCTGGCCCAGGTGGTTCTGGCTTTGTTTTTTTTGCTAGTTGCCCCCAGTGATTGGGATGCCCCCTGCCCGCTCACCTGGGAGACCCAGTTGCGAAAAGGGGACATTGAGGTGGCTGCCTTGGATGAGAGCGGGATGCGGCTCCTGGCCTGGGCTTTGTTTGGAGAAAGGATGGTTCCTGTCTGAAGGTCAGCGTGTTCTGTTCTTTCTCCCTGCTCCCCTTAGAGCCTGAAGCGAGGGAAAGGACGAATGGGCTGGCCACAGTGAGCGACCCCAGGTAAGACCGCTGGCAGGAAAGAGTTCGTCCCTTGGCCCTGCCATGTTTTGCACCCCCCAAGCGTCTTTATTTTGGGGGGAATCCGTCCAGGATGGCAGAAGAAGGGAAGCTTAACGTGTATTGGCTTCTGTGGCAAGATCAGTCCTTTATGAGTTTCCCTCCCTCCCTCTCTCTCGCATCTGTCTGCAGTTCTCAGAAAACGCTGTCTGTCTTTGCTCGAGTCTGTGGACCTCAACCCGAAGAAAAGGCTCCAGGCCCAGGACAGCCGTCTTCGCTATTCAGGCAAGGCTGGGCAAAGCCTCTGACTCTGGCTCCTGCCTGGACCTTCTGAGCCTCTGGCCGCTTCCTTGTGCAGGGATAGAGCCCTCAGGGAAGCATCTGTCTGCTATTGTGCCTGATCCAACAGAGTTGCTTTTCTGTTATTTGATTTTAGGGGTGACTTGTTCAAGTTCCCAAGTTCCCAAGAAGAAGAAGAACCGTCACAAACTTGGCAGGAGCAGCAGAAATGTGTCCCCTTGGGTGGCAGACAAGTCCCGCCTTCTGAGCCGATGGCCGAAGAGAAGGCGGTAGGCTGCACTGAGGTGGGAGAGGCCATGGAGGTTGACGTTGCCCCACTTCAGCCTGGGGAGAATCAGAGAGCCATAAAGAAGTCGGGCCCAGTGGGGGCACCAGGAGAAAAGACCGTTCCAGAGTCTGGATCCAGCAATGGCAAAAGCACCCAGGCCCCAGACCCAGCGGGCCCCATGTCAGCAGCCACGCAGACGGCCTCTGCCGCTACGGTGGAAGTGGGCACCAGCATGGCCTGCCCAGCGCTCCAGCAACGCAGCGCCAGTGTGCAAACAGAGCGGGACTTTATGTGGCGGCCTAGAAGCTCCCCAGAGACCTCGCCCTGTCAGGTGAGGGGGGGGGGACGGGGCCATTTGGAGAAGCCACGTCCAGGTGGCTCTGATGCAGCTGCCTGACAGCAGCAGGGAAATTTACGAAGGAGAAATAATTTCTTTTTGCATATTCAGACTCCTCAGGTAATCCCAGTGTTGAATATTTCAGGAGACTACCATTCAAGTTTGTTTATTTGTTTACAGTTTTTATGAACCGCCTCAGTTAGAAAACCCTGAGCCCGTTTCTGTTTTTAGGAGCTGATGTAAAACAGTGAAGGCGTGCCCAGCCCCTCCTCCCCTTGACCAGCCAGGTAAAGGCTTTGGGCATTTAGGTGGTGTTTGGAAAGCCACAAGGGAGGGGGCCATGCAGAAAGAAAGTTCCAGAATGTGAGGGCACAGCAGAAAAAGGCTTACTTTGGGCCACTTCTCCCAAGCCCCCTCCTGGGGATAAGAAGTTTAGGAGGGGGTTTACCCTGCCATGGGAGTCCTGCAAGCCCCTTCTGGACCAGCAGCAGCTCTGGGTGGCCTCCAGAGGCTGTCCTAGGTCAGGGAGGGGGCAGTCAAGGCCCGGGTCCATGTGCCATGCCTGCAAAGGCCTGCCAAAGTACCAGCCTGGGGGGCAGAATGCCTGGCATTAGGTGACTGCAAGTTATGAGGGAGAGCTGGGACTCTTCTTGCCAGCGCATCCTGGAGTGGCAGTTGGGTGGCTCTCTCCCCCTGCCCACCACAGCAACACCAGCTGCTCGCTCGCCATCTACCGGGGGCCTTGTGGAGGAATTCTGGGTGAGAACTGAGTATTTAGGCCAGTGCAGCTCAGCCGGTCAGTGAGAAATAAGGGATGCCGTAGAGATGTTGCTGGTTGGCAGATGAAGGAGCGTTTGGTGTCTGAATGACATGATTGTCGGTGTCAGCTACACAAGTGTGCAGCAGCATTCTTACTTATTCTTAGGGCCTCTATAAAGCATCAGCCATTTTATCTGGAAATAAGCGCACTCCGAAATGAAAGTGGTGTCAGGTTTGGGAAGGGTCTTCCCTGGTCCTTTCAGCATCCAAAGCTCCTTGGGGTCATCTTGGCTGTTTCCAAAGAAGGCCGGTGGTGGCCATTTTCTAGTGACCGTCAGTGGGCAAGTAGGATTTTTCATTGGACTGGCCTTTGGCTAACACGTTGCTATGGCAATGGTAAATACATAACATTTTTTTCAACAGGTTTTTATTGTTGTGTTTTCTGCCTTTGGGGTTGCTTGTATTCTGCTTATGGCTGCAATGAGGTAGGTTGTGGTTTAAATGTATTTGAATGAAAGTGATAATGTTCAAGTGTCTGTGCTACAAAAAGCAAAAGGAGAAAAATAGAGCATTTGAACAGGAATCCTATAGAAATAAACTTGTCAATAGCACAGATAATCTTATGTTCTCAATTTTAGGTGTAAATGCTTTTTAACATCTCTTATGTGTAAAAGGCTTAGATTCTGTCTGTTTTACCAATAAAGAATATGTGTAGCTCAGGGTTGAAATGAAGGGTCCTTGGTGCTCTCTGAGCTGGGTTGTTGTCTTGCAGACATTTCATGACCCAAACTAGGTAACATCATCCATGCTAGCAGGGAGTGGGGTTTGATTTCAGTTGATGTTCCAATGGCTACAACATACAGTATAAATGAAGACTGCAACAGCCAATATGCAGGAGAAACAGGCAGAAGACCGGCAGAACGCATCCAGGAACACAACTAGCAGTTAGAAGACATAATGAAAAATCTTTAATTTCACAACACATGGATAGACTTGACCATAGCTTCAACTGGGAAACCATGACCATCCTAGACCAAGCCAGGTTCAAAAACACTAGAGATTTTCTGGAAGCCTGATACTCTTACAAATCAGCACCAATAGACACATAAACAACAGGTACATATTGTGCAAAAAGGGAACAAAAAGACCACTCCCTGCCAGCAATCAGCACCCAGATGAGCAGAGATTAACACCAAGGTTAACATCAAGGTTAACATCAGACCCGCAATCAAGACATAAACAATACTGCAATCAAGGAATTGCCAGACAAGTCAACAGTAAACAGCCCAACCAAGAACTTCTAAGACCCAAAACACCAACACTGATAGAGCAAGAAGCCATTGGAACATCAACTGAGAGCAAACCCCACTCCCTGCACGGATGATGTTACCTAGTTGGGTCATGTAACGGCTGCAAGAAAACAACCCCGCTCAGAGAACACCAAGGAACCCTCCTATCTGTTTTGTTTTTCTTTCTAATAAGCTGGTGCCATAGATATAGAGTGAAATAGGGGTTATGATTCTGAATTATTAGGAGGAGAATCAACCAGGTATTCAATGTGCAATGGATTTAGCTATTCCTCGCGGCAGTTCTGTTGAGAAATATCCCATGCCCTATTGTCTAAAAATAGTTCTTCAGAGGAAAGAAAGGGGAATCCCAGTTAAAATATCCATGTAATTCTCACAAAGCAGCCCGGAGGTGGTTTGCCACTGCCAACCTCTGAAGGTCTTTCATGTGCTTGACTTGTCAGGCTAGTCTGTAGCCTTTCAATTTCCTGGTAGGCTCCCATCTAAATACCAGTCAGGTCTGATCCTGCTTAGCTTTCTTTCAGAATTGGCCAGACTTGATAACTGCTGTTGTTGAGACTCTGTTTAGCTAAATCTAGTGAGCTTTTAGGGGTAGATTAGAACTGGAAGCAAGAAGGACTAGTTTACATGCAGCAGTCAATTAGTAAACTTTTCAGTCCAAACCCAGCTTACATGGTTTTGATGAAAGGATGTCTGGAAATATTTTGGATTTTCTTTTTGTCTTCAGAAGGAGGAAGAATTCGAACTGCCACACCCACCAGCAGGTAGAGTCCTACAGCGCCATGTGAGAACAATTCGGGAAGTGCGGACCCTCATAACACGCGTCATCACGGATGTTTACTACAAAGATGGCACCGAAGTGGACCGACAGGTGATTGAGGTAGGATGTTTCCAATTAGCCAGCAGTAACGCTGTGGACCCCACAGCTTCCAGCACGATCTCTTCAAGGGCGATGCTGTCAGATGTCAGTCTTTTAGAGGATCCCTGAGACAAAGGCCGTGGCAGCCATTTCCAGAATTAAATGAGAACTAAACGAGGCCATGGAGTTGTCAAAGGCTCTTCCCTATTCTGCTCTCTTCAAAATAGGGATAGCCATCTTTGCTTGCAAAGTGAACCAGGCGCCTCAGTCAGATCCAGAAAGATCCAGATTCTAGGCGCCTCTGAAGGGGGACAGGAATGAAAGTGAAGGAAAGTGGTCAGAGCTAGAGGAGGTCAGGCTGGAAGGCCTGGGCATTTCCCCCCCCCCCATTTGCCTGAGAGCCAAGGCAAAGACGAAGCTCCTTCCCGGGTGAAGGACTTTATTGGTGGAAGGCAGTTTTGCTGCCTGTGCTCGATTAATCTGGCAGGCTGAGTTATTCCACTCCTCCAGAGCACATAAAAATGTTTAGCAACAATATTCTCTGGTATATTTAGGTTCTCCCAGCCAAGCCTGTGTCTTTGAGGGTGCACCCCAGATCCAGGCTACAATGATAAGCCAGGCCTGTATGCTCCGTGGAAGGTCCTAAGCCCATCAGTTGGAAAGGCTGAGGCTGCATGGCCTGAGGGCCTCACCCATCAAAGGGAGTGATGTTCAGAGCCAGAAAGAGGAGGGGGGGGGCTGAGGGAGGAAAGGAACCTAAGAGGGAGCCATTCCTACTCCAGCCCAGATCTACCATTTAAGATAGGGATGGGTGTGAAATGTCTTCTTTCTCCAGGAAGTAAAATCTGTTTTGCGCTCTTTTCTTTTTATCTGTGGGATGAGAATGAAATTGAAAGCTGCTTTTGCTGGACGGTGGCACTATTATTTCAGAAGAGATTGAACGGCCATTTGTCTGGAATGGCACGGGGTCCCCTGCTTGAGCAGAGAGTCAGACTACAAGACCCCCAACTCTCTTATACTCTGTTATTTCAGAGATGTCCTGGAATGACAGCAGAACGTGAGCAGAGTTTCACGTTCAAAATGGCATAAAAATACTGTTCTTGAGTACAGGACTTCTGATAAAGATGGATGCCTGGGTGCCCAAGTGGAGGGGGCGATGAGGATTGCAGTGCGCTTCCCCCCCCCTCCCAATTTGGAACCTGGTCTATTTCAGGAGCGAGAGGAGCCCCACGTGGATTGCTATGAGTGTGAGGTGGACGTCTCTCCTTCCCGCACTGGGTCCTTTTCTCTGACCTCTGGAGACCTTGGGGACATCAGCTCCTTTTCCTCCAAGGCGTCGGGACCTCAACACACTTCCAGTGGAGGAAGCAGTGCTCTGTCTGCCACTCGCAGCCGCGCAAACTCTGCAGCCCGAAGAGGGGGCTCTCAAGACTTGGCCTTGCCCACGGTCAAGAAGCCGAGGTGGGTGGGGGAAGTTTGCACGGACGTTGGTTCTGCCATTCTTGGTGTGAGAAAGTCAACTGACCTCTTGAAAGAAGAGAATGTCACGAGTTCAGAAACTGAGCTCTAAAACTTCAAGTGTAGTTTAACGTGTTGAGGACAGATGTAGATAAACAGATGTGAAGAGTCCAGATGTTTGGCAAAACTTTGTGAAGGCCAACATTTTATTGAAAGTTCCCTCCGAAGTCAGTAATGCGGAAAAAGAATATTACATTTATTTATTTAATATATTTGGCCACCCATCTCAATCACTGACTTTGGACTATAAAAATTTTACCACCTTTTTTTTTTCTGGAGAGACTTTTATCTTTTAATTTTTAGCCAGTTCCAGGGCTTTCCGAAAGGAAAAGGAGCTTTTATGTCCATAACTAATGTGTTGTGAACTTGAGAGGCTTCCGAGCGGGGAAGCTAAGCTGCCTCTTATCTCCCCAGCCCTAAGAGGGGGACCAGCTTCTGCCCAGCCCATCGTGAGCATGGCAAAGGTGCAGCGGACCATGAGGTGGAAGACCCAGGCCCCAGCAACCAGCAGTGTGGAGGTGCACCTCTCACTCCCCGTGGGCGAGGGCGAAGGGGCCGCCCCACTTCCCGATCAACTGGAGCCAGGTAGAGCCGTGGCAATGGAAGCAAAGGTTTCTTGGCAGGGCTTTGAGCCTCCTATAATCCCTCTCCGTGTTTCTGCAGGGGCTCCATGCAGGCTGAGGCAGATCTTTCAACCACTGCCTCTTTGGACGGGCAGCCCAGCCTGGGTCCACATCTGGAGGGACAGGAGCAAGCTGACCCCCCTCCATGCCGCAGTGGCTCCCCCGAAATCCCTTTGCAGGAGCAGCCGAGCGTCTCTGATAATCCCAGGCTCCCTTCCCCTGGGAGCTGCCTCGTGGGCCTCCGGGTGGTAGCCAAGTGGTCCTCCAATGGCTACTTCTACTCAGGGACTATCACGCAGGATGTGGGCGGAGCCAAGTACAGGTTGCTCTTTGACGATGGCTATGAATGCGACGTTCTGGCCCGAGATGTCCTTCTGTGCGACCCCCTCCCTCTGGAAACGGAGGTGACAGCGCTCTCCGAGGATGAATACTTCAGTGCAGGTAACCGTCTGCCGGTTCGGGAGATGCCCTTCGCTCGGGGTGGTGGGACGAGGGGAGGGAGCGAGATTGGGTCCCCAGCCTGTAGCTCTGCCTTTGCTGCAGGTGTGGTCAAGGGCCACCGGAAGGAGGCAGGAGAGCTGTTCTATTGCATCGAGAAAGATGGACAGCGGAAGTGGTACCGGCGGACGGCGGTTATCCTGTCTTTGGAGCAAGGGAACAGACTCCGGGAGCAGTTTGGGCTTGGCCCCTGCCAGCCTGCCACTCCTCTGCCCAGGGCGGCCGATATCAGCCTAGGTGCGGCCCTGACACAGGCGTCCCAGATGGGGACCACATTCCACGTTCCCAGGTGGCCAGAGCGGAGTGGCTGGGTTGGAGACCACAACACAGAGGAAGTCCTGGCCTTCTGTGCGCTTGGCCTTTGTGCAGGGCTAGAAAGATGTGGGCTGGTCAGCTGGGATGGTGCACCCAGGGGAGGGCTGCAGGAAGGCTGTGGCTGCCCTGTGCCAGGAGGTGGAAGCTGACTCTGCTTTACCCGTTGGACCCAGATAACCTGGTGGAGGGAAAGCGGAAGAGACGCAGCATTGGCTCACCCGGCCCCGCCAGTGGTAGCACAACTCCCGTCCGCAAGAGCCCGGAGCCTCTTTCCAGTAAAAGGAAACTGGCTGCTGTCTCAGAGGAGGAGCAGTCGCCAGCCAAGCGAGGGCGGCGACTGGTACTGTCCAAAGCAGGTAAGGCTCGCTCAGGTGATCCTGGTCTTTGGTGCCCTCTCCTGAACCTGGGTGGCTGCGATTCTGATGAGCTCCTCCGTTTACTTCTTCCCACACTGAGAAGGCATCTTGGGATGTCCCTGCGGGTGTCCCTCAGGCTCTTTCTTCTTTCGCTCTGGGGTTATTTTTGGGAAGACCCGGCAAGGGGCAAGAGTTGACCTTTCTCTCTTGGTCTGCAGGAACTGCGAATGCCAGGGAGTTGGCAAGCCCATCAGGAAGTGGAAAGTCCTCAGGCGAACCCTTGGCACTTGATCACCGATGGGGTCCTTTGCCCCAGAACAAAACTCTGTTTTTGGGCTATGCCTTTCTTCTCTCCGTGGCGAATGCAACAGATAAGCTTTCTAGTCATCAAAAGACTACAGTGAGCAGTGAAGAAGAAGAAGGTGAGGCCACCTGGCTTGCTGGTATCCATGTGTGTTGGTCCTTTTGAAGCACTCAAAATTCTCTAGTTGTAGATAATTGAGGTGTCTTTGTGGTGTTACGACTTATTGCATTAAAGTTAGACTCACCTTGCGCGAGGGAAGGGGGTGTTGTTAATATGTAATATTCTCCTTCATTGGCATCTCACACTCTTCTCAAAGGCAGGATGGGAAGATCCCTGTCATGGGATGGCCCCCAAAACGAGAGGTGTGTGTGTGTGTGTCGGAACAAAAAAAAATACTTGAGAGCTTCAGAATCTCTGGATTAAATCTGCAAGAGTGAGGGCGGTCAGTGAGGCTTCACAGTGACAGAAATACACTGAAATCACTGGGGCTCTCCATCACTGCAAGCTCAAAATACCAGAGACCTTTGAAGGAAAGCATGCTGAGAAAAGAATAGCAGGATGAAGCTCCTTCTGTACAAGAAGGAAACTTTTGAGGCACTCAAGTCAGATGTCCAACCAGTATTAAAAGACACCCCCCCCCCTCGTTGATTATCCATTTTCTGCTGCTTTCCCAAAACCGAGCTTCTGCATTTCCTTATAGCAACCACTGCAGTCCACACTTTTGTGCACAGGTGTGCACAGGTGCAGGTGCCCCAGGGAAGAAGATTGTTCTCTTGAACTTTATGATCTGCTCTGAGGTGTTATTGAAGGCCCTTGATGAAGTGTGCAATGCTGGTTGCTCCGCCGAGCTTTGTATGTTCTGGAAAAGTTAAGAATTGTCCAATATATTTTCATGTTCCAGAATTTGTGGAGAGAGTACCTTACGACAAACCCTACACTGAGCTACAACTCCAAGCAGGAGGCGGTTTCATCCTTGAGGACTTCAACGAAAGCCAGGTCAGAGTCGGCGGTGTATGGGAGTGGGCAACATGCCTCTAGGGCAGCCAAACCCACTCGGGTAGATTCTTATTCATTCTTATTCGAGATGCAAGTGTATTGAACAAGACAAAGTGGGCCCCCCCAAGAATTCTGGAATGCCTGCCAATCTCTTGAGGACCTCCATTTGTGGCGGTAGCTGCTTGGAAGGACTGGCATCAAGGTGACACCCCCTCCCACCCCCTTCTTGATCCAGTGCAGCGCAGCCTATGACTGCCTCCTCATAGCAGACCAGCACTGCCGCACCCGGAAGTATTTCCTGTGCCTTGCCCGGGGAATACCGTGTGTGTCTCACATGTGGGTCCATGACAGTTGCCTCGCCAACCAGATTCAGAACTACAAGAACTACTTGTTGCCGGCTGGCTACAGCCTGGAGGAAGAGCGGTTGCTGGAGTGGTGAGTGCCTGGCGGTAGGCAGGGAGGCGGCCTGGACCTTGTGGTGCTTAGGCCTTGGGGGAGCCAACCAACTTCAGCCCAAGTGGGAAAAGGGAGACGCTGCTGTCACGACAGGAGCACCTCTGGTGTTCAGCGATGCCCACGGATGCGTCGCTGCTCTTCTTTTTAGGCACCCACGGAGAAATCCTTTCCAGAGGCTGAAGGTACTCCTGGTGTCCGACGAGTCCCAAAACTTCCTGGAACTCTGGTCGGAGATTCTGATGATGGGAGGAGCTGCTTCGGTTAAGCAGCAGGAATCCTCAACCTGGAAGAACGGTATAGGCACCCGGCTCTCTGGCAAGGGGTGACAGGGCAAATCACTGTTCAAGCATTTTTGAGAGCGGGTTGGAACAGCGTCCCCCCTGATTGTGTGCTGCAGTTGAAGGCGTATTTTGCCTCTGCGTAAAGAAGGGCTTGACGTAAAAAAAGTTAAATGGCACCTTTTCTATTCTTACAGGATTCTTAGGATCCTTTTGAGAAACTGCGGGAGTCTCCTGCAAGATCACCCTTTCATTGAAAAGTGTTAAGAGTGGGATATGCAATGCTAGAAACTGACAGCCATTGTTTTCTGTTCTTACAGATGTGAGTTTGGGTGTGTTTGATGTGGTGGTGACAGATGCTTCCTACCCAGCTGCCATGGTGCCCTGTGCAAAAGCATTACAGCTGCCAGTAGTAACCCAGGAGTGGGTGATCCAGAGCCTCATTGCTGGGGAGAGAGCTGGTTTTAAATATCCTAAATATCAACATGATTATGTTCCCTGTTAAAGCTCCCTTTTTGTTTTGTGGTGGTGATCATTCTCTAGATTTTAAATTTTTTTGTGCTGTTTGACTTATGCATGGCGTGCTTGTATATAGTTTTAATGTGAACTTTTATGATGAAATAAATGTGATTTCTTATCTTGGCTATCATAATACTATTACTTGTATGATGGAAGGATTTATCATCCATTACTTCCATCCAGCCAACCATACTGGTTGAGGAATTCTGGGAGTTAAAGGCCACAAGTCTTAAAGTTGGAGACCTCTGCTATAGAATATAGAATTTGTTATCACAATGCAAGAAGCTGTGCTATGTGAACCAGGAAGGAAATTTAGTGTGAGTGCTCTTGGTACGCAACGGGCTGGGAAATTACAAACGTATGCTCCTCTCCTCCCTTTTTGCAGCAGCAGGTTTCTTGCAGCAAAACCTCCAGACAAACTTGCTGAATCCCAGGTGTGCAAGAAGAGGAAGTTAAGTTAAAAGCCGTACAGACCAGTCTAAATAAATATACTTAGAAAAGCTGATTTGAAGAGCAGCAAACGCAAGGGAGCACGGTAAGATGGGATAACTGCCAAAAATTTGATTTTCTTTCTAGGCTTTGTGAAGCAACAGCAATTGAGAGTGTTTAATTTTCTATCTCTGGGACACTTGCCTGAATCGGCATATTTATCTCAAAATCAGATGAAGCACTGTAGCCCTTCCACCTTTGTTCTTACGCCCCCTATTTCCAGGCCATCTCCTTGAAAAAAAATTGATTGCATAAAAAAGACAATATCGGTTACTTTCTTTTTCATTAAGGGCTCCAGCAGTTTTGTTAGGAAATAAAATGGCTCGTCTTATATTTTGGCAGTTGTTTCCCACCAGAGGCAGCAAATGTTGATAGCCTCTTGGCCTGGTTCAAACTGTGTGTCTTCAGCACAGTCCCTGTATCCAGACAATAGCCCCTCTGAGCCAGAGAAGCAAAGAAAAACAGCCTTAGCAGCTGAAATCTCCAAAGCCAGGTTACTTTTCACATACTACTCCATCTTCAGAAATAGAACAAAAATTATTTTAATAACATTATAGTTATCAACTGATTTTGGTTTAGCAATGGTGAAGGTGACCGCGTCGAAGGGCTGGACTTCTGGCTCTGCAGTCACAGCAAAAAGGACTGACTGCATTTGGGAGCCTAAAGCAAGCGGCTGCTTCACAAGAGGCCCAAGGACAGCACCCCCCAAAAGCTATTTAATATAAAAAGCTCCATTTGCAAGTGCTGAGATTGCCCTGCAAGAAACAAGGCCCAGTTGCTCTGAGGGCAAATCTCACGCCTCCATCATCCTTCACCAGTGGCTGGAATGTAACTGCTACTATTGCAGACCAGGACACTTCTTGAAAAGCGTGGCCGCGGATTCTGTCTGTGGGCTAATCATTCCAGCCCCACACTGTAGAGAAAGAAAAGTAATTCAAAAGGAGGACAGGGATGAAGCCAATTATACACAAATTAAGATATATATTGTAATACATGGACAGATTACAAGCGTGATCTAACTAATCACAAAACACCTGGGATGCAGAGGGCAGCTGCTACTTCTGCGGTTACCCCAGTGTGTGATAGGGAAGCAAGTGAAAGGGAAAAGGGAGTGGACAGCACACCTGTTGCCCATGCCACATATCCTGGAGGGCATCCGAGCCATCTAGGCACAGAGACCGGAGGGGAAGCCACAGGGCTCAACACTGCCTTTGGCCAGGTGTTCCCCACTGGTTCTGTTGGAAGGTGACTAGAGGAGCATGCTCTGCTTTGGGGTGCTGGCCTTACCTGCCCAAAGTGCCTCCAGCATGAGTGTAGTACTTGTTGTAATCCAGGCGTAACAGCAGCTGAGCCAAGTCAGAATTTATCTGGTGGTTGTGAACACTGGAAAGAATCTTGAACAGAAGGGAGGACTGGCAGCTGAAGCCCTGCAAAGGGAAAGACTCGCGTCAGAGCAGCCTTCTAGAGCAGGGGTCTCTAACATGTGATCCGTGGCCCAGGCCACGGGAATGGCTGGCTCTTCAGTGTGTGTCTGTGTATGTGACTGTGTACCTACCTTAGCCAGGATGCTGAGCTGGGCTGTACCCCGTTCATCTAGGGGCCCTCGGTTCTGGCTGACCAACGAACAAAAATTATGGCAGAGATCTAAAATTTCATTCAGACAGTGAAAAGCCTACAAAATAATGATCAGAAGTGGGTTATATTATTATGTACTCATTTATCTTCCCACAGTTGTTGTAACTATTATTCTAAACCAATTTTACCAATGAAAATATTAATCAGTTCAGCTCTGGGTTTTGTGAACTCAACACTTTTTTAACAACTTGGATGAGGTATGGAGAGAATGCTTAACAAATCTGCAGACATTGCAGAACTAATTGGACACTAAGAACAGAAGAAATCTAGCAAAATGATCTTGATACATTATAGAATTGGACTGAAAATAATATTGAATGCTAGAAATCAAATGCAGTTTTTGAAGGAAAATATCCAGCTGGACAATCATACTTAAAGACTTAAAGATCTAGAAGACTTAGCTGATTGCAAACTGTGAACTAGCAGCCTGGTAAGACTGCAAAAAGGCAAATGCAACTTTATGTCAGCAGAACTAATTCCTAACTTACAGGGCTTAATCATTGTATTGATAACTCCTAGTTTGAGGGAGTGTCCATGCAACTGTAAAGGATTCAAACTTGCTAGAACAGATGACCTCAAGATGAGCAACAAGTAAAATTGAAGCGAGACAGAAAGGCCCTCTTCAAGTACCTAACAGGAGGTCAGTAACAAAAAGTGGCCTAGATCTATTTTCTACCGTAAGAGAGGGCACAAGATGGGATAACGGACTGAAGTTGCTGGAAGGCTGATTCCAGTGGAATATTCAGGAAAAGAAAATGCTATCAGGAAGAGCAGTTCTTCAGGGGAACCAATTACCCAATCACTCAACTAAATCAACCATCTATTGGGGGGGGGGAATGAGTGAGCCAAAGGTGGGGGCATGTCACCCTCCCCCATATTTCCTTCAAGCTTTGCATGCACAGACCAGGAGGACGTATTCCAAGGATCCAAGACGGGAAACGGTTGATGACAATGTACACAAATAGGAGCTACTTACTGGTTTCAAGAGAATGAAGGACTGGGCCAGGAGATTGCTCAAAAAGTGATCGTGGGCCAGTCGGATACTCTCAAAATCACGGGTAGAGTTAATCTGTTGAAGGAGCTGTGAGAACTGAGACTCGAGGACATCCACCTGAAAGAAAGCAAACCAGAAGCATTACTTTTAACACTGAGGGTCAAGGAAAAGTAGAGAAATACTTGTAAGAAGTTATGAGAGCAATTTCAGCCAGCAGCTGCCAGCAGAAAAAGCTGAGAACAAAGCAACTTGAGCCGTTCGGGCCTTTTTCAGCCACCCAGGCAAACACTTACTTGCAGGTAATATTGCAAATTGTCCACAAGGAAAGTCATGTGATGGCGCAGCTGCCACTTGATGGCATCCGTCCGCCTGGATTCCAGGCACTTGCACCGCATCTGCAGAGCCCAGCAGTGCTGCAGCTCGGCTTGGACTCGCCTCACACTCAGCAGGTATTTGAAGACCACGTTGTACCTGCAGCCAAGAGTTGATTGGGCTGAGCTTCAGGGCAGAAAGCCCCCAGAATACCAGCAGAAGACCCCCTCCCACTTCCCACCGGCCCAGAGAAGGCAACACTCACTTTTCCAGGACGGCAGGAGTGAAGAGGATGTGCAAAGGCCACTGAACTTTATAGGAGAGCCCCAAGGCAGCCCAGCCGGACGTGGGGGACTCATGGGGAGACAGTTCTCGAGAAGGGGTTTCCCGGTTCTGCAAAGGGTCTGAAAAGGGAGCCAGCCAACAACCTGGATTTGAAGCAGCTGGACAAGCGAAGGCCGCAGCTCTGGTAGCCTCTTCTGCAAAGAGCTCTGAGGCCTCCAGGCAGAAGGCAGCAGCCTCTGGCCAGCCAGCCATAATGGGGCTTGCTGTCTTTGAGGAACAACTGAAGTTGTGGCTTAATGCAGGTTTCTGCTCGAGGGAGGGGGGGGCTCCCATTCTTAACTCCCCAACACGGAGTCTGGCCTCTTGCACCAACACCCACCTCGGTGTTCTTTTCCATGGTAATGGATGATCAGGTGAAGAAAAGGCAGGAGATTGTCGTCGTCCAAGAGCACTCTGTGGGCTGATTGCTGGAATGCCACATTCACATCTGAGGGGAGGAGCAGGGGGGTGCCTTTCAGGGGGGGGGGCGGAAGGAAAATAGGCCTTTTGCTGCCTCCCCCTTTTCACACACCTCTCTTGGAGGCCAAACAACTACGCCTCTCTCCTCTGCCTTGGCAGAAACGGCACACAAGGAGCATTTTGAGCCTTTTTGGAGACTTGGAGACAGACTCACCGTGCTCAGTCATTGCGGATGGTGGTGTCTTTAGCATGTGCTGTGCAGCATCTATAAAGGCCTGAAACAATTCTCCTCTCCCCAGGAGATAAAAGTCTTTAATGACCTAGAAGGAAGACAGTGTCCTGAAAGCCATCCTGTTCAGCAGCCTCGACCACCCTTCCTTCCTTCCATTGGGAAACGGGACCTCACGAATTGCAGGAACGCTTATTTACCTTCAGCTGGCCTATCAAGTCGGACTCTTCCACCATCAGCTTCCATAAGTGCTTAGGAAAGAGAAAAGCCCCAGCATCAAGATCTAGAAGCTGCACCCAACGGCAACTGTGCAATCCAAAGCTCCTCTCTCCGCTCAATCCTTGTGCAAGGTCCCCCCCCCCCGCCTCCCTCCTTGCAGGATGGATCCCTCCATGGGCTGGGTTTCTTCTAGAACTTCTCCCAGTCATGAAAAGATTCCTAACGGTCCTTTGCCACAATGCTAAACGTGCAAAGCCTGACGTTCTGCCTGACCTCCGCCACGGTGCTCCGGATCCAGTCAACCACAGACTCAAAGTCCATCAGATGGAACAGGGGCTGCTGCTTGAGACGATGCAGCTCAGCAGCAAAAGTATCTTCTTGGTTCTTCAGGATGGAGCCTGTGAGAGAAGAGATTTCCAGGGAGGCTTTGCCATCTTTTCAAGGCCTTGTATGTGCAATTGAAGGAGGCTGCGTAAACACATCAGCTAGACAAGACTCCAGGAACAGTAACAAAGACACAGGCGAACATTTGGGAACCAGACAGAGTTTGTCAAGGGAATCGATAAAGATTTAGCTTGCATTACAGAAGAATGAGAAGTTTCGAATATTTAAAAGAAAGAAAATGCCCTATCCTCAGGGGAGTCTATGTACAACAGCCACAGAAAGAGAGGAAGAACTTCACAAAGTTGAATGGCTGAAATGGGTCGCCCAGGATCTTTCTTTGATCTTCTAGTCAGAAAGGCCTCTCATAACCTGGATCACTGACCCAATTCAGACGGGTCTCAAGGGACCTCTTTCAGGTTCTGCTCATCCCTGATGGTCCGACTCTGGACCAGGAAAACAGGAGCTTTGAGCACACCTGGCCTATTTGTGGAGAAGGCTTACCCAGCCTTGAGAAGAAGTGCAGAGTAGCTGGCAGGAAAGGATTCCTGCCGCTGGATTTCAACCAGCATGCAAACCATCTATCTGCTGAACCAGTCCACAATAATTCTTAGCTCACTTGGAAGAAATCACAGCCAATCACAGTACCTTTTTTGGTAAGAGCCACATTCTGACTCTCAAACATCTGCACGGATTCCCCTACAAAGAGGATTTTTTCGGCGACACGAGCTGGAATGTAAGAAGGCAGCATCTCCATCCGGAGAGAGAACTGTTTTGGAGAAGGGGCCAACATATTCTCTTCCTCAATCAGCCTCTGTTGGAACAAAGGTTGGAGGGGAGGGGGAGAAGCACAAGGGACTGAGTCTAATGCAAAGAACCCCAAGAGCAATGCAGGGGACATCAACCCCTTTAGAAGGTCTGGGAGAGATGCCCAAGACAGGAGGAATCTCTCTCTTAATTTAAGAGTTCAGGGACCGGGAGAAACAATGCCAAGCTTGGGGAGAAAATATTGCCATTTTGCCCTTGTTCCCAAAGTTTATTCTTCCCTTAATTCTCTTCTAAAAAACACAAGGAGGTGAGAACACCCTGTACATTTGCCCCAATTTGATACTCTTTCAAAACGGCCTGAAGACCTGCTTTGCCAATGGACCTGGGGATCTCAGGGGTATACGGAGCCCATCCAGGAGCGTATTTGATGGTTGTTGCCGGGGGGAATGAGGATTTACCATATCTTGCAGCTCTCGCAGTTGCTTTCCTGTGAGTCCTCCGATGCCCAGATCGTCGTCATCTTCTTCAGGCTGGGCCACGATGACCCCCAGAGAGGGGCCCTGTCTGATGAAGAACTCCTCGTGCTGATCCAAGAGCAGTCCGTGTAGCATCCAGGCGGAAAGTTGCTTGTATAAAACGGCATGGCACATGGCCAAGACCCTGGAGAAGTGCCAACGGAAGAAACGGTTCAGGAGACACGCAGCTTCACGTGACTGGCAGCAAATGGAACTGGCAGCCAGGCAGTATCTCCTCCTTAGGCAGCTGCACATTCCAATTAAAGCCCCTGAATTCCAGATGCTCTGAATTGCTCCCTTTGGCCACTTGTGGAGAGCTGGTAAGAAAAAATGCCACTGAAAGCAGCTTTATGCTTGTGTCCGGGGCAGGGGGGATTCCTGGGGTACACCTAAAGGCCACCAAAGAATTGGAGTTCCTTACTTCTCCAGAGCATGGCACACCGGTGGCAAGCCACCACGGCTGTATTTGTAGACTGTCTCCAGGATCTGACAACCATGAATCTGCCAAAGAAACAAATTCAGATAAATCACTTGCAGGACAGAAAACCAAAAGTGCCCAAACACCAACTGCCTTTCAGAAAGTTTGCAGCAGACAACAACAATGAAGTGCATTTTTACATTTTTGCAAATAACAGCACAGACTTATATATTGCCCCACAGTGCTTTGCAATGTGAGCATATTGCCCTCAACAATCTGGGTCCTCCTTTAAATGACTTCCGAAGGATGGAAGGCTGAGCCAACCTTAAGCCCCATCAGGATCGAACGGCAGGCTGTGAGCAGAGTCAGCCTGCAATGCTGCATTCTAACCTCTGTACCACCATAACAGCAATATAACATCTCTTTTGCATTTCTCATTTCCATCAAGATCAAAAGAACCAGTCTCAACTAAACTGTTGGCCAGACATGTATATTTTTATTAAACTGCTCCATGAATAAGCTTCCATTAACAGGCAGGAGTACCATACCTTCTGGGTCTTTATCTGCTCTACTACAATCATCAGTGAGGGAAACAAGAGCTGAAACTGAAAAACAAAAATTAGTATTTAAAATATATGACAATCTGATATTTGGCCATGGAAAAACCCTTCTCCTGAGCTGCCTTCAAGATATGTATCATATTTCCTTTGGGCTGTGATTGGTCCTTACTATCTATAGAGCCTTTACAAAAAAGATACCAAACATCTTTTAAATGTTAAGATAACAGAGATGAATGTAATTTTCAATTTTTTTCCTTTTGTTCAATCGTGTCTGAATCTTGGAGACTGTCTGAATAAGTCCCTGCAGTTTTATTAGCCTGCAGTTTTATTAGCAAGGTTTTTCAGAAGTGGGTTGCCATTAGCTTCCTTCTAGAGCTAATTAAAAGTGACTGGCCCAAGGTCACCCAGTTGGCTTCCTGTCTAAGACAGGACTAGAACTCACCATCACCCATTTTTAGCCACAGGCTTTAATCTTGAAACCATACTGGCTCTCATTTTAAAATAATAGCACAGGGCTAATTGCATTCTCCTAAACAGTACTAGGGTTTTTCAATAAAGTGATTCAAAATGATACAAAAATGCTACTTCAAATAGATATATACACATACATATATACACAAACATATATACACAAACATACATATTTATGTCTTGAGTGTTTTTTGATGCACCCTGTCAGCCCAAATATGGGAGGAAGAAATACATATACATACATACATATATACATATAAAATAATTTTAAATCAAATAAAACCTAGATCTAACTAGCAACTTCAGTTCTGCAGAGGGAATCCAAGATACCAAACTCAATAAAAATCACCATCCTAGGCCACGGGGGCCGGCCCGCTCTCAGCACAGGGAGGCAACCGATGAAAAATCTCACTTTTTAATCAACAGAAAGGCTCCCTACATGGACCAGATATTGCAGCAATCACAGGAAGGCTTCATCTTTTTTTATTTATACATATTTAACTGCCCATCTTTGCATAGCGCAGGTTGGCGGAACCAGCTCACCCCTCATTGCAAGCATGACTCTGCCAGTCTGGAATCTTTTTCACAATCCCCGCCTCTAACCTGGAATCTAGGCAGCCTGGGAGGGCGGGAGGCTGACCTCAAAGAAGAAACGTGCAGGGAAACAAAAGAAATTCATGGGACCAAAAAAAAAAAAAAGCTAAACCAGAACTTCCAACTTCTTGTGAAAAAAAGATCTTGCGAAGTTGGAAGATCTGATTGCACTTTTCCTTCTTTTTTTAGTCCCATGAACTTCTTTTCTTTCCCTGCATGTTTCTTTTTTATATATTGTTGCATCTGGGAAAGTATCCTCAAAGTGCAGATGAGAAATGACTTCTTTGGCAATACTCACCTGGTCCAGAGAATAGTTGACGTATGAGATGGTAAGGTGTGGATCAGCCAGAAACTGCCCAAAACAAAGGGATAAAGTGTGAGCATTCACAACTGAGCCTTTTTTTGGGGGGGGGGGGAGAAAGAAGACAGGTTGTCAGGATGTAACCTGAATTTTATATACCCTGCAATACCTTATTCCAGATAGCTTCTATTCTGTCAGAAAATGCAAGCTTGGCATGAGACAAACCAGCATCGTGGCCATTCGGGTTGGGGTCTTCCCCCCCCTCCCCCCGAAGCACCCAGCTTCCTCCATGCGTGCCTGGCCCTCACCTCTTGCTCCAGGCCCAGCAGCGCCTGCCGGTAGGGCTGCAGCACGGCGTCCAGCCCGGTGCAGAAGGCGCGCAGGTAGATCCCCGGTGGGGAGGCCAGCAGCTCCTGCGAAGAGGCGAAGCCAGGCGGTGACTCCCCGCGGGGCCCCCGGGAAGGCCCCCACCCCTCCCTGGGAAGGGCGCACCTGCGGCGGCGGCAGTGGCGGCTGGGCGTGCTCGGCGAACTGCTCGATGAACTCTTGCAGGCGGATGTAGAGGGAGCCCAGGCGGCAGACGCGGGCCAGGAGGGCGGCCTCGCTCGGGTGCAGGAACGGCAGCGGCTCCGGGGACACCTGCGGGGGGAGGGGGAGGATTTAGGGTGGAGGTCTTCAAACTCAGCCCTTTTAGAATTCCCCAGCATGCCCGGCTGGGGAATTCTGGGAGTTGAAGTCCACAAGCAGGGGTAGGGAATCTTGGTCCTTTTATGACTCGTGGACTTCAACTCCCAGAATTCCTCAGCCAGCGTGCCCGGCTAGGGAATTCTGGGAGTTGAAGTCCACGAATCATAACATGCCCAGAGTTTGAAGATCCGATTTAGGGCGCTGGCCGGGCCCGCGGAGGGAGGGAAGGCCGCCCCGCCCGCGCGCCCCCCGCCCACCTGCAGGCCGCCGCCGCCGCCCACGAAGAGGCCGCCTGGGTAGCCACGCAGCGCCAGCAGCAATTCGTGGATCATGGCGCCGCGTAGGGGCCAGGCCTTAGCCGCCTCTTCGCAGGAGCCGCGACAACGCCTCCGGGAACAGGGCAGAGCCGGCACCGGGCGCTATGTCGCCCCCACCACCCCCGCGAAGCCCCGGCCGAGGCCTCGATCGCCGCCGGATGAGGCGCCGGGACTCGCGAAGACGGGATGGGGTCCTTCAGGCACTTAGCTTGGCCGCCTGTCTAGCAGCTCCGGCCCCGCCCCCCGGGCGCGTCAGAGCCCAAAGCGCAGAGCGTCGCCACTCTGTGCTCCTCCGAAAGGGACGGGCCGCTTCCCTCGGCCTTCGGCGCATGTCCGCCGGCTGGTTCTTCCCCAGTAATCTCCGAGAGGCCTTCTCGGCATTGACGGACTTCCTGTCCCTCGATATCGGCCGTTCCCCGGTTCCTGTGAGAAAAGGACCTTTCCATCATGGCCGACTTCCGGCCCTTCCTTCTTAATCGTTCCCCCAATTTCCTTTCACAGAAGACCTTCTCTGTATGGAGGACTTTCCGTCTGATCAAATTCGCCGTCCACCGGGGCCTTGAAAAACGACCTTTCCCATCGTGGTGGTGGTGGAAGGAGGTAAGGAGATGGGCGAGCGGGCCGGCTTGTATCACACTCTGCCTTTGTAAGGGACTGAAACTTCCAGCAGGCTCAGGCAATGTGCGGACTCGTTCCAGAAGGAGGGGGGGGGGGAAATGCAGGGTTGGGGGTTCAGGAAGGCTGCACTTGTCCCGAGGCACCGACGGTTCTTCCAGCTTGCTTTTTGTGGGGCGGAGGGTTGGGGGGAGAATGCAGAACACATCTGCCCATTTGCAGAAGGGATGTGGCAGAAATAGCATCACTTGGCGCAACCTGGAGTAAACAAAACCGGTTTCAGGCCATTATGTCAGGGTAGGCCAAGTCTTCAGGAACATGCACTTTGACAAGCAGCACAAGGAACTCGTCTCTCTGGCTTTTCCTTTGAGAGTCGCTCTGGGTTTATGGTTGGGACCTCCTCCCAGTTATTGTGTTTGTGAAGTTGTGCTTCATCGCTTGTTGCGATGCTGTTTGTCAGTTGTATCTTTTCTGCTTTCTTTCCAAGGTCCCAAAGCACAGGAGAAATTTAAGCGGCTCATGTTACACCGAATAAAATGGGATGAGCAGAAAGGAGATGGTAAGAAAGTTTTAAAGTAATCAAATGACCTAGAAAGGGGCCAGCCCTCTTTTACAGCGAGCTGGTTCTGAAATTGAAAGACTAAAAGGAAGTTGGGGGCAACTGAAGGGAACGTGGATGGCTTCGTGAACTGGTCCTTTACTATCGCCAAAGGTTCGCTTCTTTTCATGAGCTACTGAGCTTGCAGAGGTCTATATCCTGCCTTTTCTAAAGGGAGGTCAGAATTCTCACCTTCTGTATGAATAAAGGATGTTTCCGATCTGACTGATCTCGAGTGTACTTTTGAACAGACAAATCCATCTTCAGTTGTTTCCCCATTCTTATACCCTAAGCAGTTTATTTTTCTTGCAGATGATGAGGAATCTGTGAAAAAAAACCAACAAATGTTCCCTGGTTTGGGAGGTGAGTAGTATTTATGGTCTAACTGAGGCATTTGGTGATTCCCAGCGTCACTAAGAAAGTCCTGGTTTTTATTATGCCCCCTTAGTGACAGGACAGAGAAACACCTTCAGGAACTGAACTGTGGGTGCTCTGTACAATTGTCCCTTCAGAGCACCCCTCCTCTTTAATTCAAAAAGTGGGAGATGTCAGGACTCACTCTAAAGGGTTACTTCAACCCTCAGGGCTTCACCAGTAAGCCACGGGCAAGGAAAGAGGAATTATCTGCATTACGCGAGCTTCCAGTCCATGCAATGCAACCCTCGATACATAGGCTGGCTCAGAATCTCTCCTGCCTCTCTCTGTGTCCTTCTAGGGCACGGCAAAGGAGCAGAACTTTGGCGAGGTGAAGTTCAAGCAGTGTGCTACTGAAAACATGGCACGAGAGCATTTTAAGAAACACGGCACTGAGCTTTATTGGGATCTAGGCTCTGAGCGAGTCAGTCCTAGAACCCACAGACTGACGGCCTTTTCTGGAGCCCCCTCTCACATTTCTGGGCGTTTGACATAAAGGGCAAGAACTGAGCAGAAACATTAAGACTCTAAGCCCCGCCCCCCCGCCCCCCTCATTCCCACAAATTCCTCACCGTGCAATGCACACAATTAAAGGAAATATTTTTCAGATCCAAAGAACGGCTTTTGATTTTAATGTTTGGCTTTGGACTAACAGGACACACATGTGAGAGAGATCTTCAGCTTCCCCACTGCCACAAGTACACCTTCACTCAGTCTTGGGGTTTTATCATTCCTGCCCTGCAGGAGTGCCAAGGAGAGGATATTAAAATGTCTGGCTCTAAAAAATGCTATTCTACTCTTAGGAAAACTCAGGTCTTTCAGATACCTTGCTGGTCCCCACACACCCCATTTAATCCATTTTCCTGCTGCAGAGAGAGATTCTGTTAAGTTCTAGCTGGAACATTCAGAGACAAGGTAAGAATGCATCTCTTTGGCCGAGCTTTTGATTTCTGAGCAATCCTCTTGTGTAATTTTAAGAGCGATTTCAATTGCATTAATGTGGTTTGTAGATTATAGCGTTAGCGTTTTATGAAGCACTTTAATGGTAGAAGAAACAAAAGCTGCCGAGATATAAAATAACTTAGAAACAAACATACCCAATGTAAAGTTAGAAATAACTATAAACATAGATTACATCTTAAACCTTAGCGTACTAAACTCTAGGAATAAACATAACCGTAAACCAGATTTTGAAAATGGTTAGTGTTAATTGCTATCCACCCTTTTAAAATAAAACACACAAAAGCGTAACTGTAACGCCTGCTTGCAACAGCGGTACTTTTATTTTTTAAATCATCAAGGGGAAACGGGAGTAACCTTATGCCATTGAAATCAGTTCAAATTAAGCATCAGGATAAGTTTCAGGTCGAAGCTCAGTCAAAGAGATGCAAGATTACCCTGTTCTTCCAGGGTCCCGTCGCACAGTCCGGTTACCAGTGCAGACAAGGCCCTTTCCTATGGGCCTAATGCTTTCCTTTGTAGCCGGGGTGGTGGTGGTGTTAGTCAGAAAGGATTTGCAGGGCCATCTTAGCAACAGAATCCAAAACGGAAAGGAGGGTACGAGACAGGTAAGCGGGTAGCTTTGCAGCAAGCGGGAGGCAGATGAAGCCCAGGGTGGTTCCAATAGCATTTTGGGTCCTATCGAGTCAGCACTGTTTTTCCGAGCACAGGGGCAACTTCAGTAGCTGTGTTGCATTTGTCTTTCTCCCTCTTTTGGGGCAAGAAGGTCAAAGGTTGAGGGGTCAGGTCAAAAATCAAGGGGTCAGGTCAAAGGGTTAGGGTTTTAGGGTTAGAGTTAGGGTTTTAGGGTTACGGTTAGGGCAGGGGTAGGCAACCTTGATTTCCTGTATCAATCTTTTTTATTAATTTTTTCCATCAATATATGTTAATTTTTCCAATCAACAAGTTGCCTGGAGTTTGCTAAGGTAATACATGTTCAATTCCTAATCCTTCATTCTTTGCTCTAACCAAGAATAAAATAAATTCCAAATTTGATAGCAGTCCATATGTTCTTTGTATGACTCGTGGACTTCAACTCCCTTATTAATATTAGGCCATCCTAGGCTTTCTTAACTAGGTTTAAGGCTTTTGAAGCAGATTGCTTCTTCCGCGCCTGCGTTGCAGCAAACGGGCCTCCCCTGGCCCTATTAATAAGGTGTTAATACCGTTAATAAAGATAGAGAATACCGTCATTTTAAAATGCCATTAAAAAGGTTTATTTCTTTGGGTGGCCGCAATACCCGTATTTGACCACAGGAGGGCAGAGGTTTCCATCCCGTAGCATTAACGTTGAAGCCTTTTGCCCAGGAGCCGCCTGGCCGCTTCCCCTTCGTCTTCCTGCCTTCGCCCTCGGACGGCCTGCGTTGCGTTGCGCTGTGCTGCGCTCCCTCCGCTCCGCACCCGCCAGAGAACCATCGCCGCCCGCGCCTATGGCTGCTCCGGAGGAATGCGACGGGACGGGCTCGGCCCGGCCGCACTACGGCTGTGAGTCCGCGCGTGGCAGGCGGGAGGGGGGGACGCGGGGCGGCCGGGCGGCGGCTTCCTTGACGGCGCGCCCGATCCCAACCGGCTTGGCGGCGCGCGGTCTGCAGGGGTTGCCGCGGCCGCTCCCGACCCGGCCTTCCGCGCCCAAGATGGCCGGAGAGGCCGCCGCCCCACCGCCGCCGCCGAGGAGCGGCCTGCTCCTGCGCGTCTCCTGCCCGGCAGCTGCGGATCGGGCGCAGAGCCCGGCTTGGTGCGCACCGGGCCCTGCGGCCGCCCTTGGGCAGACCCTCCCGGGGATCTGGCTCCTCAGGCCTGGCGCCTTGGCGACCTTCCCTTCCCGGCCGCATCGCTCCCTCCTGGCCCGCAGCAGCCTCTCGGCCGGCGCGAGGCGGTGAGGGTGAGCCGCCGCCGCCGCCGCGGAGAGGAACGGCCAGGCCGGAAGGGAACCCGTTGTCGGCCGGGGGGCCTCAGCAGGCGGCTCCAGGGCGGGAAAGGCCCGCCCCGGCCGAGTCGGCGGCGAAGAAACGGCGGCGCTCCGTCCCCTCGGAAGCGCCCCGCCGCCCCGCCGGGAGTGACCGCGCCTCTCCTTGCAGCTGTGCTGGACAACGAGAGGATGACGGCGGAGGAGATGGACGAGCGGCGGCGCCAGAACGTGGCCTACGAGTATCTCTGCCACCTGGAGGAGGCCAAGAGGTGAGCCGGGAGCGCCGGCGGCCCCAAGCAGGGTCGGGCGGGGTGGGGGGTGGGTGAAGGCGACCGGCTTGGTGGTTTGGGTTGCCTGCCGACCTGGGCCGTGCTCGGCATGGTTTTCGTGGCCTCTGCCTGCTTCCTCCTGAAATGGAGCCCCTGCCCATCAATTGTATGCATTTATTCAAGCCTCAGGCTTTCCGGGAATGCCGTCATGGATAGCTTTTCCTTGGAGGAGGTGTTGGGAGGTTTAGCCTTAGGCTACTGTTGACTCAGTTCGCTTGGGGGGTTTTCCAGATTATTCCTTCATTGGAGTGGGGAGGGGGTGTCCAGCTCCCACCAGAGGAAGAAACCTCCTGTGATCTGCTCAACACAAATGGCCTGCACTGATCCAGGATCAAATTC